TCCCCCCCCCCCCCCCCCCCCCGACTGGGACTCCTCTGCTCTGGCTGCCTCCCACTTTGGCTCTCTCCCCAGTCCCGCTCCGCCCCTCTACATCACTCCTTCCTGGCCACAGCCAGATTCCATCCCAAACTCTGGGTCGGGGCTGGCGGGAGGGAGTTGCCTTGTTCTGTTCTGTTCGTCAGTCCTCAGCCAGCCTCACCCAGCCTTGCCCTGACCCAGCCTTGCTTTGTGTGTCTGAAGACCACCCCTGTTTTGAACACCAGCGCTTGTGGGGAGGTGCTGGAAGGCTGTGCTGCCCTTCCCCACCCCCGTTCCATGGGCCTGGCCACCGTGGATGATCTGTTCCCTGCCCCTCCCCCACAGTGTGGCTGGCTACCCAAAACCACAGCACCCTGGTGACGGAACGCAGTGCTGTGCCCTTCCTGCCTGTTAACCCCGAATACTCAGCCACACGGAATCAGGTGAGGGGGCTGGATGGGGGGCCTGGGGTGGTCTCCTCCCCTCCTGGGGTCGCAGCACTGTGGGCCTGCCCTTCCTCACAGGCTGTTGTCTAGGCCGGGAACTGGGCCCGCTCTTCTCCACTTCTGACTCAGGCCTCCCTCAGGGCCTGGCTGGCACTGGGATTTGGGAATGGGGAAGAGGCTGTTCTTTTGAGCACTTGGTGAGCAGCCTCCGGGGGGTGTTCCAGCCTCTTCCCGAGAGCTCCCCTAGGCGCCTTGAATCTCTGTCATCTCCCATCTCTGTCCTGGCCAGGTGAACAGGCTGGCGTATTTCAGCTGTGGTTAAATCAGAGAGCAGGGGGCTGGCTTACCACTTTGTCCTACCCCCATGTGTCCGTTGGCCTGGTCCTCATGCCGGCCTGGTCCTTTCTGCCTTGCAGGGGCGACAGAAGTTGGCTCGCTTTAATGCCCGAGAATTTGCCACCTTGATCATTGACATTCTCAGTGAGGCCAAGCGGAGACAACAGGGCAAGAGCCTGAGCAGCCCCACAGGTGGGAAGGGTGCGGATGGGGTGCAGGCAGTGGGCACTGTCCCAGGATGTTCTCTTTCATGGCTCCCTCTCGGGGGTGGCATGATAGACGGGTTATGTGGCTGAGTCCTGAGTGACAGGCCTGTGCCCTCAGACAACCTCGAGCTGTCTGCACGGAGCCAGAGTGACCTCGACGACCAGCACGACTACGACAGCGTGGCCTCGGACGAGGACACAGACCAGGAGCCCCTGCGTAGTGCCGGCGCCACTCGGAACAACCGTGCCCGGGTCTGAGCACTGCCCCTCCCCAAACCCTCCCCTGGCCTCCACCAAGGCCCAGTTCTATCCTGTTGTAGCCTGGGGCCTTGGGGACAAGCGGGCTGGTCACGGCCTCGAGAGCAGCCCTCTGAGGGCATTCATCCTCTGCCCCTGATGGCTGATAGGTGTGTGTGTTGCTCTGCAGAGCATGGACTCCTCAGACCTGTCCGATGGGGCCGTGACGCTGCAGGAATACCTGGAGCTGAAGAAGGCCCTGGCCACCTCCGAGGCAAAGGTGCAGCAGCTCATGAAGGTCAACAGCAGCTTGAGTGACGAACTCCGGAGGCTGCAGAGGGAGGTGAGGGCTGCACCCTCGGTGCCAGTGAGGGGGCTCCAAGAGCCCTGCTGGAGGCGAATCACCCCCTCCCAGAGGCAGGGGTGCCCCCTAGATCCTCCAGGGTTTCTCACACCACTCTGGACTTTCAGATCCACAAGCTGCAGGCAGAGAACTTGCAGATCCGGCAGCCGTCAGGGCCGGTGCCCACACCCCCACTCCCCAGTGAACGGGCAGAACACACGTCCATGGGGCCTGGCGGGAGTGCCCACCGCAGGGACCGCCAGGCCTTCTCCATGTATGAACCAGGTTCTGCCCTGAAGCCCTTTGGGGGCCCACCTGGGGATGAGCTCACCACCCGACTACAGCCTTTCCACAGCACTGTGAGTTGTCTGCGGGTCTCAAGGGGGTGGGGAAACAGAGGGTTGGGGCCGCCACAGGGCCCTCCATGACGCCCCCTTTGCTAACCTCCAGGAGCTGGAGGATGACGCCATCTACTCAGTGCACGTCCCTGCTGGCCTTTACCGGGTAAGCAGGGGCTGGAGGAGGGGGTTCTGTTTCTGCAAATAGGTTTGGAGCCCCAGTACGTGCTAGGCTTTGTGCTGGATGCTGGGCACAGGGATGACAGCATACATGGTCCCCCCTCACTGCGGGGGACCACTGCAGAGACTGACTCCAGTCCTTCTGGGTTTCAGATCCGGAAGGGGGTGTCAGCCTCAGCTGTGCCCTTCACACCCTCGTCCCCACTGCTGCCGTGCCCCCAGGAAGGAGGCCGCCACACGGTAACGTTCCCATTCCCCTTGCCCAGGGCTCAGGGTGAATGAGACGTGTGGATGGGAGGTGAAGGGGGCTGTGAGGGTCCGTGAATGTGCACCTCACCTACCGCCCCCCCTTCCCTCTTCCCTCCAGAGCAAGCTTTCCCGCCATGGCAGTGGTGCTGACAGCGACTATGAGAACACGCAGAGTGGGGACCCGCTGCTTGGGTGAGGCACCCCACAGGGAGGGGGCTGAGCGGGCCCTGGAGGCCCTGTGAGGGCTCAGGCAAGCAGCCTCATGGCCAGAATGTGTCTCTTTCCAACCCTGGGCCTCAGACTGGAAGGGAAGAGGTTTCTAGAGCTGGGCAAGGAGGACGACTTCCACCCAGAGTTGGAAAGCCTGGATGGAGACCTCGACCCTGGGCTTCCCAGCACGGAGGATGTCATCCTGAAGACGGAGCAGGTCACCAAGAACATTCAGGAATTGTTGCGAGCTGCCCAGGAATTCAAGCATGACAGGTATGGAGGCGAGGCGCAGGCTCATAGAGGCCTCTGGTGTCGCAGAGGTCAAGAGAGGGGCCATGTTCCACCGTCCCTGGGAACCTTCCTTGAAAGCCCCCCACTAATTTATGCCCTCCCCTCCCCCAACAGCTTTGTGCCCTGCTCAGAGAAGATCCATTTGGCTGTGACCGAGATGGCCTCTCTCTTCCCAAAGGTACACAGGCCAGAGAGAGGAGCAGGACTGGGAGGGCCTCAGGGTGGGGCAGGTGTAGAGAATCCGACTGCTACCTGGCTGGAGACATGCACACACTGGGCCATGACCATGGCTCATGGTTTGAAGTCCAAGGCCCAGCTCCCTCCTCCTTCCCTCCAGAGGCCGGCCCTGGAGCCTGTGCGCAGCTCCCTGCGGCTGCTCAACGCCAGCGCCTACAGGCTGCAGAGCGAGTGCCGGAAGACGGTGCCCCCGGAGCCTGGCGCCCCCGTGGACTTCCAGCTGTTGACTCAACAGGTGATCCAGTGCGCCTACGACATCGCCAAGGCTGCCAAGCAGCTGGTCACCATCACCACCCGAGAGAAAAAGCAGTGACCACTCTCCCTGCACCCTCACCTGCACCCTGGGACCTCACTGGCCATGGGAGCTGGGCCACTCCAGACACTAATCCCCACCCCAACAGAGCCGCCGGCCCAAGTGCCCTTAGTGCTGCCGCTCTCTCCTGGCAGCCAGGCGCCCTGGTGCCCGCCCCCTTCCAGCCCCCAAGGATGGGGAGGTGGGGTGGCAGGAGCTTCTGTCCCCCACATTCCATGCACCTCCCCCTGTACATAGCATCCCCTCCCCTTCTAGCGTGCAGGGGCCTGTACGGTATCACTCCCAGCCCCTTGCCCTCCAGGGCACCCTAAGCAAACGGTCGGGTGGGGACACTCCAGGTGGGGCGGTTCTCCCTACATGCACCCCACCCCCATGAGCCAGTTCAGCCCTGTTGGGGGCTGAGCGGGGGCATCCCCCTCCTTTGTACATAATCTCTGTGGATGTCCCCGCCCTGTAGCCACCAGCCCCCCTGCTGCTCTCCTTTAATGCCAAACGGCCCCTGCCTAGGGCACAGGCTTCAACCTGTGTTCCCGGGGTCCCCAGCAGCAAACACTGGAAAATCTTTTTTTCTCTCCTCTCTTCCACCCCTTAACTTTAACGTTGTGGTAACTGAGTGTCCCTGCGTGCCTGCGTGTGAATGTGCGGGGCGGCAGTGCCGTTCCTGAGGCCTGGCCCGTCGGGAGTTTTGTGAGGGAGGAGGGGACCAGAATAGCAGGACCAGCGTTGGGGGTCAGCCCCCCCAATCCTGGGGCCAGGGACAACGGGGTAATCAGCTGGGGTCCTGCCCGCTGCCTCCCCTCATCACTCCCCCTACTCATACCCCTTCTCTATGAACTTAAAAACCACTTCCCTCCATCTCTCCTCCCCCTCCCTTGTGGAGGGGAAATGTGCTGGCTGGGGCAGAGAACTGAGCACCTGAGCCTGGGGCTGGCTCCCTGGGGTCCCCAACTCAGCTGAGAGCCCCCTCCCCAAAACCTCTGAGAGGCCAGGCACCTGCGCCTGCAGTCTCTGGGTACCTGGAACCTGGGCTGCAGCCTGGGAAGGCTGGAGAGGCAGATGGCAGCGCCTCCCAGCTCTCCTCCCCATCCTGCCTCTGTCCCAGGGGGCCAGGTTCTACCTGTGTGGTGGTGGGTGGGCTGACTGTCAAGACATGTGTCATGTACATTTGTATCAAAAATAAATAAGTGACCATGTGCTGTTTCTGATGCTTGGAGGATTCGGGGGAGGGGGAGCGTTGGGTAGACGGCAGACACGAAAGGGAGAAAAACAAACCTGGCAAGAGTATGAAGCAAGTGCAGACTACAACTGCTCCAGACTGGGTCCTGGCGGGAAGGGGAGCCCTTGTGTTGTCTGTTAGAAAAGGCGCTTGGGATTTACAGTTTCCGTAACACCATTCCCTGCCATGGTGGCGGGAGGGGTCTGTCACACTCCTAAAACTCCGAGTCTAAGGCCAGGTTGGCAAGAGGAGGCAGGCTGGCGGGTGGGTACTCAACTCAACTTTATAAAACCCCCCCACCTCAAACACAACCTAAATGGCCTGGGACAATGTCCTGGGTGGCAGTGAGTGTGTCTGTGTGGCAGATGCACAAGCTCAAGTCCAGATTCTACTAAAATAATTTAATTAGAAATACAGACAAAGGAGGCTGAACTAGGCCTTTTGCTCCCTGGGCCACCCCTCCCGCAAATCACGTTAAGGACCAGCCCCTTCGCAACGCTTAGCCGGGACTGCGCCAGCCGGCCACCAGGGGGCGGCCCTGCGCGCGGTCCACGTGGCAGAGGTCGCGGCCTCCCGGCGGGCGGAGGAACCGGACTGCCACAGTGGCAGGGCTGGGGTAGGTCAGTTGGAGCTGTCCCCATCCGGGCCACTGTCCGGCGTGGGCGGGAGGAGGGGTCTCCGGCGGGAGCGCTTGACCCGGCGCGGGGGCATCAGCAGCCTCCGCTTCAGCACAGCTGTGGGCGGGGTGGGGCTCAGTCAAGGGCGGGGAAGCCATGGGGGGCGGGGCTGGGGGCGGTGAGGCGGGGACTTCTCACCGGCCACTGTGTCCTGGCTGTCCGCTGTGGGCTCCCAGTAGATGCTCTCCCCGCGTCGGAAGTTTCGGTGCAGCCGAGTGCAGAGCGTGGCCAGGGTGAGCAGCACCAACAGGAAGGTCAGGGCCATGGCAGCCCAGGCGGCCTCCTCCGTGCGCGGGGTGGGGCCCCGGGCTGCCCGCGGAGGCGCTGCTGCCCGCGGGGCGGGGGAAGCCTGACTTGGACAGGCACAGCCCCCAGGGCTGCTCTGCCCTTTGGGCAGCTGAGCCTCTATCCTGGAGCTGGCATTGCCTCTAGGCCCCCCAGGCAGCAGGGGGGCAGTAGGCACAGATGGGGCATTACCCCCTTCACCGGGGGTTCCCAACATGGGCTGCTTGGCCTCCAAGCTCCGTGGGAAAGCAGAGGGGAACCTCAGGGCTGAGGGGATGGGCTGGAGACCAAGGGCAGCTCGCAACCCACGCCTCTTGACACCACCAGGAGAGAGCTGCCTGGGCCTTCTAGATGCCACCTCTGCACCTGGGGGCCGCCAGCTCCGCAGAGTAAAGGCCAAAGCCAGGGCCTAAGGGGAGAAGTGACAGCAGTCACCCTTTCCCTGCCCAGAGAACCCAGTGACCCCGCCACCAACCAGGCCCGGGCCCAGCACCTCTCACCTTCACACACCCTCTCCGGCACAGCTGCCCTCTGCGGGGGGTTGGCACCAGGGGAGAGGGTCCAGAAAGGCTGTCAGAGAGGAACCATGCCTTCCTCTGCTTCCTCCGCCGCCTCCTCTTCAGCCAGTGGGCAGCCCAGGCTGGCTCTACCCATGCCATCTCCAGCGCCACCCCCCATGCTGCCAGCACCAGAGGCTATGAAAGGAGGAACTGTTAGAGCTAAGACGAAGGTGGTGAGCAAGCAAGAGGAAGCCCCTGAACATTCCTCTCCCTGCACAGGAGGCTGCAGCCTCTGCCTGTGCCAGACAACCACCCTTCCTCAGCCACTTACCCGATCCTGAGTGAGGCTGGAGTCAGGGGCCAGAGAGGGCTGGGCAACACAAATGTGGGCCAGGAGGGCCAGCTGGAGCTTCAGCCAGGGGTGGGCACAGGGGTGGTAGAGGAAGCTGACGCCCTCAGCCTGGAGGAAAGGCATGGAGACATCGGGCCAGGCCCAGGTCCCTCTCAGAGAATCCCAGGTTCTTACACCTGGGAGGCCAGCTTAAAGGGACTCCCAGGATGGCTAGATGACCCTTCCACCTTCAGGGCTCAGGAAAGGACAAGGAGCCTGGGTACCGATGTGCGCTCCCTCTTGCCTCTGAATGTTCCTTTCACTTCTCCTCTCCATCAAGTGCCACCCTTCAAACCTCACAGCTTTCATGACAGCAGCCTGGTTACCCCTGTAGGACTCAGACCACACTCGAGCTGTATTTCTCTGCACCTGCAACCGTGACTCTGCAGGTCCCCAGTCTAGACCGTGAGCAACCCCCGAATGGAGACCAGGTCTTCTGTTTATCGATCCCATCTATATATTCAATCTCCTCCAGCATCCAAATACAGGGCACACAGGCAGCAGGTGCCCAATCCCAGGATGGCAACATTAATTAGCCTTTGATTGAGCTGACCTGATGCTCAGCACTGTGCCAGATGCTGTAGGAGATGTCAAAAGAAAACTCCTGGACTCCGCTGGCAGGGAATGTAAAGGAAACTCAGGGACACAGAACTAATCCAAGTAAAAGAGCAAACTCATACAACTCAAGTGGCTAGTTGCTAAATTATGAGAGAGAAGTTATAAGCATTACATGAATTTGGACACGGTGATGAGCAAGGGCTGTGTGATCAGGCAAGGTCTCAAGAGGGAGCTGACTCCTGCACTGGGCTCTGAAGATGGATGGGGATGGATGGGGATGGAGGGCAGGAGGGCAGGGAGCTGCCCACTTCAGCTTCAGGTCGGGATAGGCCAGGTGTGGAGGAGAAGCAGCAGGAGCAAAGGTACAGCAGTGGGAAATGAGCCTGGCCCTCACATGTGTGGTGAACAGACCAACACGACTGGAGAGGAACCAAAGATTTGGAGACGTCAGATGAAGCTTATTTAACTAAGGAGGGCCTGAAAAGCTGGCAGGGGGTATGGCCATGATAAGGTGGGAAATAAGGAGCCAGTGAAGGTTTCTGCACAGTGGAACGATTTCGTGAAAGGGCTGCTTGAGGAAAGGAATCAGGTAGGTGGTGTGAGGTCTCTTGGCCTGGAGCTATTACAAGGAGAAAAAAAAAAGACAGATATTTTAAAAGGAAAACCAAAGGGACAAGGAGGCTATCTGACCGCTGGCAACAAAAACAGAGAGGCAGCAGTGCACAGTGAACCCCAGTTTGGAGCCTGGTAACCTGAGGCACGCTCCCTACACCATACAGCTTCCTACTTTTGAAAGTGCTGTCAACAACACACAGTTCGTTTACTCTTCGTGGGTACAGACATTCCTGATATCCTCTCTTACAGAAAACTGGGGCCCAGAGAAGTCAGAAGACTTCTCACAGTCACACAGCAGAGTTGGGGCACAGGTTGTTTTCTTCTACTACCGTCAGAGTTCCCCTTGAAGCCTGGGCAGCTGCTCGACAGCATTCCTACCACGGCACTGCAGAGGGCAGAGGCCTGCGGCTCACTGTCCTGGGACTAAGAAGACTGCCTCTTCCTGAGGGAAGCGGTAACGAATGGAGCTCGTGCGCAGAAAAGGTGGAGACAGCCTGCAAGGAGCGCGCGGGTTCCAGAGCAGACACCAGGACGGCTCCCCGCTGGCGCTTACCTGCTGTGGGCTCATCCGCGTGTAGGCCACTCTTGGTGACACCTATACATGGGGAAAGAAGAGAGCTTAGAGCAGCTGGGGGACTCCTTGCGGAAGGTGGGGAGGGGACAACAGGCCCCGGGCCGCCACAGTGGAATGGAGACGTTGGCGACAGAGGGCCCGAAGAACCGGCAGAGGTCTTCAGAGGGTGACTGCGGCGGGTGCAGCGAGGCCAGAGCGGGACTGCTGGGCTACCCCGCACGCCCCTCTCTCCGCCGCCCTCCAGGCTCCTACCTGTGGGGGTAGAGGCCACAGGCCCTCGGGACACCGGGCTCCCGCCTCCTCCGCCGGCTCAGCCACCACCTGTGGGTCCAAAGCGCAGAAGTGCTGGAGCGCTGGCCTCGGCTCGGGCCCTGCGCTCTCCCTCCCCAGGCCCAGCCCGCCAGGGGAGGACTGCTAGTCCCCTCCGCGCGCGCCACTCCTTGAGGACGAACTTTCGGCACAGCGCTTTGAGATCCCGCGCCGCAGCCTGCTGAGGCGTGGGTCGCCTTACCTCGCGGGGGCCCAGGAGCCCCGCCAGGGCTGCCAAGAGCAGCAGCTGGGGCGAAGGCGGAGGAGGCGCCATCCCCGCCCGCCCGGGGCCGGCCCCGCTGCCCCGCCAGCGAGGGAGCGCGCGCCGCCCCGCCCCGCCCCGGCGCCCCCGCGCCGCCCGCGCACCCACGCAGACCCCGGGCTCGCGCGCGCGGGTGCGCCCCCGCCCGCGCTCCCGCCCCCCAGCCTGCGCGCCGCGCTTCGCCCCGCCCCCGCAGCTCCGGGCTGCTCGCGCCCCGCCTCCGCCCCGCCCCAGTACCCGCCCACGGCTGCGAACCGTGCGCGCATGCGCCCTAAACTCCAAGCCGGAAAAGTTGGGTGTGCGAGCCCGGCCCCAGCGCACCGTGGGGCGGGGCAGGCGGCGGCCACCTCCTTCGCCGGCTCATTTGTCGCGGCGGGTCTCCGCGGCCTTGCAGAGGGCAGCTGCAGCGCCTGGGTGGGATCATGGAGCGGGGCGAAGGGCGGGAAATGGGATCCCTGTGGACCAGGTGGCCCTCCTCTGGCAAACCTGCCTCAGACTCGTCAGTGTGACCTGCACCTAGAAGAGGGGCAGAATCACGAAGCCCGAGCTGTGGCAGGAAGAGGGTCCCCGCTCTAGAGCTTCACCCTCAGCCCATCCCACTCCTGCCCTCGCAAATAAGGCCCGAACGCGGAGGAGCCTCGGAGTGTCTCAGGCCTCCATCCTCCCAAGGCCCAGAAGACCTGCGAAGCTGCAGCCTGGCCGGGGGCTGCTTTGTTCCCCACGTCCGCCTCCGCTCTCATCGTTCGCTCAGCAGTGGCCAGTGTGTGCCCTGGGGACGCACCGGGCGCCGGCCCTGCTTTCCTTTCCCGGTGCACTTCATGGCTCGGCTCTGGATTTTGAGGAGAGACGGGAACGTGGGTGGAGAGTGAGGGCTGAGATGCCCAGCCCAAAACTTCGAAATGGAGCAAGAACGCCTCCCACATCCTACAAGGGGGTTTCTTAGCCTTCCCCCGTACCCCGGTAATTGCCAGTTATTGAGCTGGTGAAGGGACTGCAATCTACCCCCTGCTTCGGCCCCATCGCAGGGTGCCAGGCATCCCCCCCCAGAGCACCTGAGTGGGTCTTTTCCCCCCTTATTCTCGGAGGCTTCAGGCTGTTTCTTCTGGAGAAGTCCTTCCTGGGGAGCAGTGTTGAGGATTTCCTCCATCTGAAGCCAGGCTCCGGGGGGGGGAAAGGGGACACACTCCCGGGGGAATCGGGACAGCGCACTGATGCCGGCAAGGGAGCGATCACTCCCCGGCGCTCTAGCCTTCCCCTGCAAACGCGCTGTCGGGGCAGGACGCCTGCCCTGGCCCTCGCTGGCCCGGATCCGGACCCCCCGCCCGGCCAGGTTATTGCGCAGTTGGCGGTGCCCGCGAGGCCGAGACAAACACCGAGGTCAGAGAGCGCTGCCGAGCCCGGGGAGGGAGGCGCGGCTGGTGGCTCCGGCTGCAGCTGCAGCCGCCCCGCGGGAGCCGAGGAGCCCGCGCTCAGAGCTGAGGTTTATTCACTTCTCCTTTTTGCTACTTCTCAACAGCGGCCCCTGAGGGCGCAGCGACGCAGGGGCTCCCCGGGGCAGATACGCACTGCATGGGGCGGAGGGGCAAGAGCAGAGGACTCTGATGCTCATCGTGCCCCAAGCCTCCATGTCCGAGTCTCCCCACTTCTTTGCCGCCAACACCCCACTCCTGGGCTCGCTGCCCTCCCCACTCCCTTCCGGCTCGCCGGCGCGTCCTCGCTCTCTCGGTGGTTTCGGCTTCTTTCACCCTCTGCTCTTGCTTGTCGCAATCGCTGTACAAAGGGCCGGGGGCGGGAGTGGGGGGCGGGCGAGGGGAGCCGGGCCCGAACTGGCTCCCTCGGCGGGGCCGCGGCCAATCCGGAGCGCGCCCCCCCGCGCGGGAGGGCCCTGGGCAGCCTCTCGCGGCCGGGCGGAGCCGCGGGCAGAGTGGGGAGCTCGCGGAGGGGACGGCCCCACCGCCCGCCGCCCGCCGCTCGCCAGGGGCTCTCCTGCCTCGCCATGCCGCCGTGGGGCGCCGCCCTCGCCCTGCTCCTGGCCGCGCTCGCCCTGCTTGGCCTGCTCGCTCCGCGGCTGCGGCGCCCCGGGAGGCGCGCCGTCGGAGCGAGGACCCCTCCGGGGGCCCGGGTCCAGGACCACGCGGAGGAGGGGGACGGCGGAGGGCCCGCAGACCGGTTTGACGACGGGCGTGAGCCGCTGCCCGGCGGGTGCAGGCTCATCTGTAAGCCGTCGGCGCTGGCCCAGTGCCTGCTGCGCGCCTTGCGACGCTCGGCAGCGCTGGAGCCGGGCCCGCGCTCCTGGCTGTCTGGGCCCCACCTGCAGACCCTCTGCCACTTCGTGCTGCCCGTGGGGCCCGGGCCTGAGCTGGCCCGGGAGTACCTGCAGTTGGCGGACGACGGGCTGGTGGCCCTCGACTGGGTCGTAGGACCTTGCGCCCGGGGCCGCCGGGTCACCAACGCCGGGGGCCTCCCTGCGGTGCTGCTGGTGATCCCCAATGCGTGGGGGCGCCTCACACGCAACGTGCTCGGCCTCTGCCTGCTCGCGCTGGAGCGCGGCTACTACCCGGTCATCTTCCACCGCCGCGGCCACCACGGCTGCCCGCTGGTCAGCCCCCGGCTGCAGCCTTTCGGGGACCCGTCCGATCTCAAGGAGGCGGTCACTTACATCCGCTTCCGACACCCGGCGGCCCCGCTCTTCGCGGTGAGCGAGGGCTCGGGCTCGGCGCTGCTGTTGTCCTACCTGGGCGAGTGCGGCTCCTCCAGCTACGTGACGGGGGCCGCCTGCATCTCGCCGGTGCTGCGCTGCCGCGAGTGGTTCGAGGCCGGCCTGCCCTGGCCCTACGAGCGGGGCTTTCTGCTCCACCAGAAGATCGCCCTCAGCAGGTGGGTGACGGAGGCCGCTGACGGGCAAGGGGGGAAGAGAGGTGTTGGGCTGATCGAGAGGCAGCTCTGCCTTGTAGTGAATCGAACAGGTTTTATGGCAATTGGGGCAAAGGTGTCACACACTTTCCGAAGCTGTCCAAACCCTCTGGTCTAGACGGAGCGGGTTTCAAAGCCATAGACGGACTCAGTCAGCATCATTATGCTAGAGGCAGGACTCCTGCCCTGGGGCCCCCACCGGCCTCCCCTCGGCCCCACCGTGTCCTAGCAACCTGAGTACCTGCCCCGCTCGCGGCAGAGGCAGCGCCTGACATTTAGCGCTTAGTCCGTAGCTTGTCAAATCAGCAAAGAGGGCTCTGGAAGCAATTGCAACTGATTATCTGTGCAGACTGTTTCCGTATAGTCTCTGAGCCAAAGGGACAGGAATCAGAAATTTGGTGGTCTTTGATTTATTAAAATTCTTTAGGCTTGACAAATGTTTTGCATATTCCTAGGTACGTACTCAGTGTTTAATGCAAACATTTAAATATATATATTTTTTAATCTTCAAAAAGAGAACAGTCTACCGCCAGGGTGACAGGTGAGACTTTCCCACCGAGATGGCCTGAGCAACATTTCCACAGCAAATAACCAGGCCCCAGCTTGCACTGTTGCTTTCCTAGGAGATGGCAGAATGAGGTCAAAGACATTGTGGCGACAGTGCGGTGTGGTAGGAAGACCTGAGATGTGACGTCAGACCCACTTGGATTCAAATCCTGAATTTCCAGCAAGTTATCTAACCCCTTTGAACCTCACTTCCCTCTTCAGTTAAATGGAGCTGATAATAGCTACCTCACGAGGTGATTATGAGCATGAAATGAGATAACCAAAGCGAGGGGCCTGGCGCTGGGTAGGTGCTCAAAAAATGGTGGCAATTGTGATTTCTCTTTCTTTCCTTGCCCCATTTTGCCTCCTGTTCTGAGAAGGTCAAACCCTGAGCTCAGCAGCAGCCCAAAGTGCTGCCATGGCAACCAGATCCACCAGCGCAGTCCAGGGGCCAGTGCTCTCCTAGGCTGCATTGCCAGTTTTCATCCACAAATGACCGCCACCAGCGCTGGCCCTGGGCACCAGCTGAAGGATGTAGGGAAGGGAGAGCTATTCCTCTACCCTGTAGGTCCCTCTGGCTGGTCTAAGAATTAAATTGATGTGAGACAGAACAACAGGAGAAAATCAAACAAAGTTAAATAATAGGTATAGATGCGAGAAATGCAGGAAATCTGAGTAACTTGCCAAAGTGATGGAAGCCGCCATCTTAAATATCATCTTCAGCTAAAGACAAAGGAGGTTGTTGGGGGGCTGGTTTGGGACTTCAAAGGTTCAAGGAAGGCAATTTGCACGGAGATGGAAAAGCAAATGTTTGATAAACAGATGTTTGCTGGGCCCTCTATAGACAATGTGAGGAGAGAGAGAACTTTGACTAAAGTGGGCTTGGCAAGGATCCTCCCAGTCTGCCATGTCCGTAGTTGTCTATGGTGACGGCCTATCCTGGGGACAGGACTTCTATCTTGAATTCTTTTAGGCAGTTAGGGGGAAAGTCAAAGTTTCTTTCAGAGTCTTTTGTCCTTAAAAATAATCAAGCCAAAGAGACAAATTTTGGGGTGGCCAGTTCTGATCTACCACAAGGATAAGGTGACGAAACTGGAGAGGAAACCTGGGCCTTCGGGAACTGCCTTGCCCGTGGAAGTTTAGGATTGAAAACTCAGGGCAAGCCTCTTTGAATGTTTGCGGGAGACACACATCCAAATTCAAGTGGCTAAAGCTGGGTTGGTCCACCCAAAGGAGCTGCCAATCCTGGCCTCCTTGTCAGGGAGCCAGGCCCTCTCCAGGGAGGTAGAAACATCAAAGATGTCCCTCTTTCCCAGAGCGGTTGCTCTCAGGCTCCCATTTGGGAACTCACGCTGTAAATTAATTACACTCCCACTTCCTTCCTCTGCCACCCAGCCTTCTCTAGGAATACCTGCCCCACTGATCAAGGTCACACTCATTTGTCATCATCTGGACAGCATATTAGCTTTTAACATACAAACAAACAAACTAATACAACCTAAAGTAAAATGTTAGTGATGGAGGAGTGTCGCCTGCTGGTTTGGATAGTCTGGGCCAGTGAGTTCTTCTAGGAGAGGTTCAGGAGGTGACAGTGCATAGCAAATTCCCCACACAGGGTCAGAAGTGCTGTCACTGCAGCTCAGTGGCTGTAAAGTCAAATGTTCCCCCTAGGCTGGGCAGGTAATGCCCTGAGTGACAGGCCTGGTAGGAACTGCAACGCAGGAAGGAGGCAGAAAAATACTCTGTTGTCTGAGGAATGCCAGCCCATGTTGCCAGATATTCTCATTTCCCTAGAGAAGCCAGATAGCTGCATTTTACGTGAAATCTCCTGATTTTAAATGATGACAACGAAATGGAAGTTTTAAAAATACTATACGGGCAAAGAAAGCCTCCGTGACCAGAATCTGGCGTGTGGGCTGCCGGTCTATAACGTGTGCTGTCAATTTTGGGTTTTATTTATTTATTTATTTATTAGCATATTTGAGTGTTCTTTTTTTTTTTTTTTTTTTTGAGGAAGATTAGCCCTGAGCCAACTACTGCCAGTCCTCCTCTTTTTTGCTGAGGAAGACTGGCCCTGGGCTAACATCCATGCCCATTTTCCTCTACTTTATATGTGGGACGCCTGCCACAGCATGGTTTGTCAAGCGGTGCCATGTCCACACCCGGGATCCAAACTGGCCAACCCCGCGCTGCCGAGAAGCGGAACGTGGGAACTTAACTGCTGCGCCACCGGGCCGCCCCCCGAGTGTTCTATTTTATTGTACTTTTTTGGTGAGAAAGACTGGCCCTGAGCTAACATCTGTGGCAGTCTTCCTCTAATTTTGCACATGGGACACTGCCACAGCATAGCTTGATGAGCAGGGCGAACGTGCGTGCCCGGGATCTGAACTGGCGCAAGCGGAGCACACGAACTTACCGACTACGCCCCGCCGCCCCTTGCTGTCAATTTGTTTTCTAATTCTTCCCTCTCTTTCCTGCTTCCCCATCCCGCTTCTTGCTGTCAGGTATGCCACGGCCCTGGAGGACACAGTGGATACCCGCAAACTGTTCAGGAGCCGCTCCCTGCGAGAGTTTGAGGAGACCCTCTTCTGCCACACCAAGAGTTTCCCCATCACCTGGGACACCTACTGGGACCACAACGACCCCCTTCGGGATGTAGACGAGGCTGCCGTGCCTGTGCTGTGTATCTGCAGCGCTGATGACCCCGTGTGCGGGCCCCCAGACCACTTTCTGCCGACTGAGCTCTTTCACAGCAACCCCTACTTCTTCCTCCTGCTCAGTCGCCACGGAGGCCACTGTGGCTTCCTGCGCCGAGAGCCCTTGCCAGCCTGGAGCCACGAGGTCATCTTGGAGTACTTCCGAGCCTTGACTGAGTTCTTCCGAACGGAAGAGAGGATGAAAGGGCTGAGCAGGCGCAGAGCTTCGGTCCTAGGGGGCCGGCGACGGTGGGGAACCCTGCAGAGACGGGAGATCTCTCCCTCTTCCAATCTGGAGGAGATCTTTAGCTGGAAACGCTCATATACAAGGTGAGACCTAGCCCGGGAACCCCCCAAGTTCTGTAAGGAAGAGCAGAGCTGGGCATGGGAGAGTCGTCAGAAGTGATGAGGACCGAATGGGCAAGCAGCTCCAGCTCTTTGCCGCTGGTTCAGCCCCTTCTCTCTTAAACTGGTCTGTGGAAAGACATGGAAGTTCCAGCAAGCTGGCGCCGCCTTTACCCTGAACGGTCCTGCCCAGACTCTGCTCAACACACTCCTGCTCATCCTGGTCAGCAGCTGGGCATTCCCAGTCACTGTCTCCTGTCACCAACCTCATAAGCCAAAGAATAGCATCGTTTAAGTCCCTGGACTCAAGAGAAAATGCTCTCTCACTAGCAATGACTACAGAGAAGATGAGTGTATGTGTGTCACTGGGCAGCCCTGCCCCACATAAATAATCAGCTCTGTGACCCTGATTCTCAAGCTGGAGCCACTTAATGTAGTGAGGGCAGGATGTTTGTGTCTTGGTCCCGCTTCCCTCATTTTGTCCTGTGGTTGTGGAGCTCTGCTGACGTCACGCGGCCGCAGCTCTGGAAGCGGGCTCACAGTGTTACACTTGTGAGTGTGAGAAAGGTGGCAGAGGCAGTAAGTGCTGTGCTGAAACTGGGTTGGTGAGGGCAACAAGGTTGAGGGTATGAACGTCTGTGTCTGGGATACTGAGGTCCGGTCTTTCAGACAAGTTCTGCAAGTCTTGGTTGGGAAAGGGGCCGATCTGCGGCTTCAGCTGAAACCTCAAGCCTTCCTGGAGAGATCCCCCAGATGATTTTGGGAATGGGAAGTCCTCGCACGCAGGGTCTGCTGGACCATGGCTCAAGGAGCCAGACTCTTGGGCACGCTAGCTGCTCCCTCCAGTACTTTTTTGGGAGATTACTCCAGAAAGCCCTAGCCAGAGCCATTTTCTCCTGAAATGTGGGCTTTCTGTAAGTGGTGAAAAGTGTAAACCTCATATCTTAGGTGTCTTCTGGTTAGTTGCCCTGTTTTCTGACACTACTACTAGTCCCTCCCTCTCCAGAGCCTGCAGAGACATCTGGGACCAGAGAAAACAAAAGTTCCAAGAGGTTGGCTAGAGCTGACACAGTGATTTATGAATATTTCACATTTCTATGCTTTTTCTGCTGAATTATTCAAAAAGCCATCCATGTAGATGCAGAAAAAGCTTCTTGCTGGATCTGGCCACTCAGTGACTGTTTGGTTTTATGAGAAATAATGCTGAAGACCAGAGTTAAATAAGGCATTGTACAGATTGATCCACATATCCTGTTTTGGATAAGGCCGTTACACAACATAATAGGACATCCCGTTCCATGTGCTGCTAAGAGCTTTGCCCTGAAATTTTATTTTAATTTGTCATCAAGAAAGAGGGCACCTGTGTTGACAGGAGGTTCTATCCTGGCCTTACAAACAGCAAAGCAATTTTAAAGAGGAGAGATGTTTACCAAAAGTCATGTCCTAAGGCTTGGTGTGAGGAATTCCTGGGGCCGTGATTTCAGGTTTGGATAATCTTAACCCAACCTCATTCTTCTAGATCAAACAAGAAGAAAGTCTGAACTATCCGAGAATCTAAATGGAAATGTAGCTAACACTCAGTTGTCTAAGGTACATTATCCTGTCATGAAAAAATTACCTCTCTCCTTCCCCACTTCTTGCTCCTCCTCATCCACATTCCTCATCTAACATCCTCTCACGGTTTCTGAGCAGTTGAAATAACAAGGAACTGAAATCTAAACAAGCTGTTCTACTGCTGGTTAACAGTCTTCTGTGTAAGGCCTGGTGAGGGAGAATTACTGACATCTGGCCACCGCCCTCCCCCAGGATCTGGTACAGTGGGGATTTCAGTTAATGAGGGTCCCGCAGTCCCATATGCAGGACCCTAGGATCATTCAGAACTGACTGCAAAATGGGAAGCAGCCAGTAGTTTTGAATCACCCCTTGCTTACAGGCCCCTAATGGCTAAAATCTGGATGGTTTCTCTAGGCCAGATACCATGGGACTCTGGTTCTTTAAGATAATAGCTTTTGGAGAAATCATGGTTGGTTTTCCCTTCCTTTTTTTTAATAGGAAAGAACGCTTGCAGCGGGAGTGGGGTAGGGTGAAGATAGGTAGATTTTTTTCAGTTATAATCTTAATGCCCTCAGAATGGTAGAACAGCCCTAGTCCAGGCTTCATTAATTCCCTCGGACCCACAGCCCTAATGACCTAAACCCTAAGGTATTTCTCCTCTGTGCCCCTTGAGCCTGATGTGCTCATTATATCTCAGAAAGCTACTTCTGTCTCATCTTCCCATCACTGTTTGATGGCATCACGGCTTTTCAGTCCGTTTTTACCAAGAAAGTGCAGTTCCTGTTCAGACAGGTTTGGGTGACCCCATCCTTGAGTCTAATGATGAAGGAATCACCCATACTGACTCTGCTTTGGTTAATAGCTAATTATGTGAAACCAGCTGGAGGAAAACCACGCACACTATTCTGAGAGAATTGTGGCCCTTAAACAAAATGACAAGTTAAGAGTTTGAGGAAGTAAGAAACAAACAAACAAAACCCAAAGAAGTACCAAAAAGTTGGAGTTTTCCAGACAGCCAGTCTAGTGATCCTCTCAGGCCTCGTTCACTTACTTGCCTCCCTTTTCGTCTCTTCATTATTTATAAACACCTTCAAATAGTAAGAGGGAAAAAAACCGCTAATGACTTAAAGGAGGCATTATCTCAGAGGTAGAGACTGAGTTCTCTGACTCCAGCCATTGATCAGAATGCAGGAAGCAGACAACTGCCTCTGACGGTTTCTTTGAGTTCTGCTAAGTTCTGACCTCAGATACCAAAGACTGCAAGGCTATAACTTAATTCTCTTAAAGGTTTAGTATTTTATGTATTTATATCCACGGTGGCTTGGCTGGAGACGACAGTAAGAAAGGCAAGCACCGAATCCTCACTTTGAGAATCATCTGAGCGAATATATCCTTTCTAAGACTTGAGTACTGTTAGAAAAGAGCTCTTGACACAGGAAGTGTCATCTTGGCTTTATATAGAACCTCAAAACCACCCCAGAGTCAGAAGTTCCTCTGTACTCATCTTCACTTGAGACCACAATATCTTTTGTCAGTCAGTCACCCTTAGTTATCTCAAGGTATCTTCTGTTAGAAGTAAACTTTAGCATGAATTCCTCTCCCTGCTTAAACAAGTAGGTACCCTTGGCCACTTTAGTAGAACTTGCTAACAATGCAAATAAGGAGTATTTGTGATTCTATGGCCAAACCACAAAGGATGGCCTCAGAAATTGTTTTCACTAGTTATCACAATTTGCAAAGACAAGATTGAGAAGTTGTACCTAGGGAGTATCCAAGTGCCCGGAAATAGAATGAGTGCCTCAGGAAGCAGGAAGTCCCACATCATCATTGGGATATACAGGCTAGACTGCCACCTGGCACAGCTCATGGAGCGGACATGTGCCAAGAAATAAGGGTGGCCCTGATTTCATATAAGATCTCTTCTCATCTGAAAGTTGGTGAATTGAAATAATGCTAATGAGCTCCATGTGTTGTAAAGACTTCTGGTTGCTCTGTGAGACTGAGGATCAGGAGATCACAGACCTGATCCAGATTCTGGGAGTTGGACAACAACATAAAGATTTTAATGAAAATAATCCTAAAATGACCAGAGGATGTTTTTAAGATATCCAATAATTATGCTCTAGTCTAAAGGGTCTGGGAAGAGCTAAAAGTTTGAAAGAAAAGTGGATTTTCATTAAAGCAAACAATAAAAGACACTAACACATCAAAAATAAATGTCTCCAGCCCCTCCAGCCTTCCTGTGTAATACGGCAATACCTTGCTCTAGTGTTTATCCCTAGTGCGGCTGAACAAAATTTCTCTCCAACTTGTTTGCCTCTGAATAGTAAATAAATCGCAGTCTCCCTGCAACGAGAGAATGTCATTGTTTTTTAAATCTCCAGAAACAAACGTGCTGTTTGTCTTCTGAAGTCCTCTGTGTACTGAGCCGTGCTTACCTACCTGTTGAGTTAACAGAGCTCCTGGTACATTCTCTATTTGCTGGTTGTTGCTTCACTTCTGTAGATCCAAGCTGGGTCCCCTAATGCCAACCAGTGGCAGCTCTGTTTAATCAACAACCAGGCCTCCTGCTCTGGGCTAATAATTTCCCAGCAGACTCAAATTTCCCTGATCATCAATGGTACCTACATAGAGATATTTTCCAGTGGGCAATTAATAATTTGTGTGTTGGCTAGAGTACCGAAGAAGTAGTTTGGAGAGGTGGGTTCTAGTTTCACTTCACCTGTGACTCCTCTGATATCGGGAAGCTGATTTTATGAGTTGTTCCATATGAAAAGACGGAGATTGTGAACAGGGCTTAATTTAGAAGCTCTGTTAGGATATAAAGAGATAGGAAAACCAGGTGGATGCCATTCTCCGAGTCTGGAGCTCGAAGACCACTATGGAGGCGGCATCTGCGTTCAGATCAAAATCTGTTCTCTAATTCTTACAAGGCCAAGAAGTTCCAGTTATTAATTCTACTGAAAAGCTGGGAAGAGCCTGGAAGAGCAGCACTTTTGAGGCTCACAGGCTGGGTCCCGGGTTGCTGAGGACAGGCAAATTCTCCCCGCCTCCCCCCCAAGCATATACACACAAGTACACTCACTCGCTCTGATAAACATGTTAGGGCTAATACGCTTCACACTGGCTCATTTATTCTGGCTAAAAGCCATGTTTTCCTGTTTCTCACAGACGAAGGTCCGAGAGGATGTCACATTTAAGATCTCACATCAGTTGTGCTGGGGCTGAAGACCAGAACTCAAACAAGTGTTCTTTTATGTCATTACTTTGTCTTTTTGTAGTCAATCGCTGGCTGAGATGACAGTAAATAATGCTCACTTTAGACTCCATAATATAAAGGGTGTTAATGAAAGGGAAAAGAATTTGTCTTCAGAGCTGCTGTAGCGCACAACTCGGGGGGGGAGCCATACACATTAATCTATAAATGGCACCCCTGAAGTTGTTTATTGCGTAGCCTGCGTAGCCTTGACACCCTCAGCAGCCTTGTCTCCCTCTATTCATTAAGAACGAGTATCTGAAAATATGGCAGCAATTAAAGTCACTAATTGCCCACAACACATACAGGAAAACCCTGGTTCTGCAGCTGGCATCACAGAGATGTAGGTGATAGCACTAACATAACCACTGGGGCTGTGGAGCTAGCTGGCCACTGTGGTAAATTTTTATTTATGTTCAAATTTCTCTTACAGTCAGCTAGGGTGGGCTTTAAACCCTAAGAGTTTAAAGTTAAAGAGTTTAAGAGTTTAGTGACTCAGAGTGTCTCTGATATGTTTAGCCAACAAAAACATTTGTTTTGGGTTGTTGATATGGGATACAGGCTAGAAGCACGTGTTTTATAATATTCTCATTCCACTGTAATTTGAAGATCCCAATTGTGAGGATAAAGCAGAAAGAAGTCTTGTTTTTAAAACTCTTTTTGAGTACCTCCAAATTCAAGGGGGGATGTTGGAAATGCTGGTGATAGGAGACCTGATCTAGTCTTGGCTCTGCCACATAGCTGTTTGACTACGCAAATTAAACACTACCTTAAGTGTTAGTTAATCTGAAAATAGCTCCATATCAACATTCTAGGAGTTAAAAAGCTATGTTAAAAAGTGCCATTTTTCTGACAGTCTTCAATAAGGTAGGTAATCTCAATTACACTTTTTAAAATGACACTTAAAACAATTTTCTAATAAAAAACATAAAACCCCCAGCCCATGAAAGCCCCTCTGCCAAAATTAGCCTTCTGACCAAAAAAAGTCACTTTTAGCACTGTTTATTTTTTTTGAGGAAGATTAGCCCTGAGCTAACATCTGCCACCAATCCTCCTCTTTTTGCTGAGGAAGACTGGCCCTGAGCTAACATCCATGCCCATCTTCCTCTACTTTATACATGGGACACCTACCACAGCATGGCTTGCCAAGTGGTGCCATGTCTGCACCCGGGATCTGAACTGGCGAACCCCGGGCTGCCAAAGTAGAACGTGCAAACTCAACCGCTGTGCCACCAGGCTGGCCCCTAGCAGTGTCTTAAACAACACGATTGGATTAGCTATTCTGCCCCATATAGGGCTAAAATGTGATGAGTTTCAAATCTGGGAAGATAAGGCCAGAGGAAACCACTCTTTGAAGCTTTGTACAGGTCGAAGAACTGCATACATTTATGTGTCCGTGTGTGGGAGAGGCTGTAGTTATACAGACCACAATATAGGTCTCTATGAAACTTAAGAACCTGCATCAAACTGTTAGAACCTAAAGAAGAATCATCTCACACCCACAAAACAACAGGCCACTTCACTCTCTGGGCAAACAGAATTTGAGGCAATTAGTCTAGAGGGTTTACGTCTGTATCAGAGAGGTCACTCTTACCCGTCTCTTACTCATTTTTGTAACCCCAACATCAAGCACAGTGCCTGAGATTCAGTAGTAATTATCCAATAGTCACTGAATTGCAATATACTTTATGGGAATAAAATTACTTAAAAAAATTAAGCAGACACTCTGTGTACTAAAATTACTTTATTACAGTTGATTTTTTTAAACATTTCCTTTGCTATGATACAAAGGATACTTACAAACAAAATATTACATATGACCTTGTTTTCGCTCTTTATGTTCTGACAACTTGGTAACAGCTTTAAATGCACAATCTATACAATTAATACAGGTTATATATGAACTATAAGGTATGTGAACCAGAAGAATACTGACAATATACTGTACAATAAGCCTTACCAGTTAGTGCTGCGGACCATTTCTACCAAAAGGAAAATGCACATCTGTACAGTCACCTTTACCAGCTGGTGCTGACAGTGAGGGAGAGGCCTCTTCCCCATTGCAACCCTTGATAAGCCTCCACTGTGGGCATCTGTTTGGTCCGAAAATTGAGAGGACTGTGTACATTTAAAATTAGTCATTGGTAAAGTGGTAGAACATCACTTTCAACATGATAATGTCTCACCAAAAAAATCAGTCCTAGTTTTAAAAGACCACAAGTCCTTCGTCCACTACAAAAACCCTACAGGCTCAAGGGCTTTGGGAGATGAGAAGATGAAGGCTGCCAAGAAGGAGGCAAGAAACCAAGCCAAAATCTAGGTCTTGCAAAATCATCATTTTTCCCTTCACCAAAGGGAACTAGAAATGTACAAATTCATTGATGAACCTCAATGATAACATATCAGTTAGCTGATAACCCTCATTTTATCGGGACCCCTGACTTGTGGGAATAACCGAAAGAGATTGTGAATAATATATACCACTTTTAGAAAAGAACCTCTTGCTTAGTTAAAATATTCCCTTTAGCCACCAAAGCTGGTCCTGGGCTATTACAGGTGTGCATTCATCTCTCAATGGTCTACTCAGAAATGATAAGGTTACAGCTTTTTTTCTTTTCTTTTTTCTTTTTTAAATAAAAAAGCAATTGACTGAAGCATTTTTCTTTTTTTAGGTAAATAGCAAAAATAAAAATAAAAACCAACCCTGGCATTTGCACAAATAATGCAAATGTAGCGATATGGCCTTTAAGGTAAGGGGTTAGTAGAAAGGGAGAGAGAAGTGAAGAAAATCCAGAGAAAATGATGTATTAATTTTTCTTTTTAAAAATTTCTACAATACATGTGCAAAAAAATCATGCTGGTTGAGGAAAACAAAGGGACATGAGTATATAAAACTAAAAACATAAATAATATGTTTGGATGACTGGTAAAAGCAGAAACCAACCTGGGTTACAAAAAGGATTATACATTCAAGATGCTCTTAAACCCAGTGGGATAACTTATGTTAAAACTGTGTTAATAGTTACGTTAAAAATCTCAAGTTTGTTTTTAAATCTTCACAATACAAGCAAAGCTGTTTTAAAATATACACTATACATATTTCTCATAGTCTCTCCAACCTCATTAATTAATGCGCATTAGGCTATCATTTTCATATACTAAAACAAGGGGGTTCTGAAAGCGAAATTGCTCAGAATAACCCATCCATTATTTAAATGTCTTAAGTTTTAAATGGGTTAAGAATTTTAGCAGACTTACATAAATAGGATTTAGCAACACAAGTGTTAATTTAAAAAACTCTAAAGCATTTACAAATTATCAGGTTGGAATAGTCCGGGGGAAGTTATGTGCACTATACTTTAAAATGTTATTTACATCAGACCATCGCTTTTGTAAAAACTTTCCTAAAAGATAAAAAACAAAATAAAATGAATTGGGAGAATTAATCTATTCTAACCTAGCAGAGAAGGAGCACAAAAGGAAGGTAAAAGAACAAAATGATCTCCTCAGAGAAACCCCACATATCCCTCCCCACTTGGATTCTGCCCTATGAAACCACCTGCAACTCCTAAGAGGCTCACGCATCAAGTGTCAAGATAATGGGGTAAAATACCTTGTGAGATAAATTACTGGCCTCAAGTGGACTTTTTTTTTAATTTTTATTTTTTTTTTACATTTTTCCACCTTGTATCTCTGGCTTGGATTATTTTAGGACATGTGTATGTAATTAATTGGAGGGGCACTCTAAGTAGGCACAATTCCCATTAATGCAGATTAACCTAAAATGCTGTTGGGAAGAAGGGGTGGTGGTTTCTTTGATATTAGGAAATGCAAGGAAGCACATTTGGAATGGGCACCAAAAAAGAGCTGCCTGGCAACACACCAGGGGTAGCCAACATCTTAATAAACTAAGTATACTTGTCTATGGATAAAAAAAAGGGTTAGAAGGGTTCCAATACCACCCCCCCCCCCCCAGTTGTTTGATATGTGCCAAATAGTCACATGGACCAGCCAGAATCTGCAAACATTAAGCAGTTACATCATTTTTTAATCACACAGTTCACTCCATGACCATGTGCAATTTATAGTAACAATAATGTTCATGCTGAGGCAAAATGTATTTGAGGGCTCAGAAAAAGCAAAATGTGCCACTGAGAGAAACCTGTTCCCATACAACTGGTCTTCATGCTTTCAAGTGGCCCTAATATACCTTTGATGCTAAGCCAAGCCATGCAAAAGCAAAGAGTACACACTTTTCATTAACACTGTTATCTCACTTCTAAACTCCACTGACCTCAGAGTTGCCATAGAAACATATAACATGAGTACTGAAAACATACAAATGAGGGTTCATGGATTTTAAAAAATACATTTCCCTCGTCTATGTTCACCAGCCTTTAATACCTTAGACTACAAGGCATATCAGAGAAAGCTTAAGTGGGGATAATGACAAAGGAACATATGCAATTCTGGAAATAGGAAAAATGCTCCAAAAATGGGATCAATGTGCCAACAATAAGCATAGTTCATTTCATTTGAAAATTCAGCTAGAGAGCCCAATAAACAGTTCCAAGCCATAATGTTATCACCTGCATAATTCACATAAACATTAAAACTCTTGCACTTATAAACAAAACACACTTCTGTAAACATGGCCACTGGGGGAGGGAGGCTCCCTACCTCAATCATGATGGAGGACACGTAATCATTATATTAAATAAAATGACTTCACTTCAAAAGATTTTAAACCTGACCAATGATTAAGCTTCAATTCCCCCTGTTTAACAACATTTAAGCATTAATTCTAAAAATGTTACCTAGGATGGTTTCAGGGTTAGATGCTAGGACCACAACTGGCAATGACAGCAACTCCTCTCTAGCTGGCACAGACTTATAAACTTTAGTACAAAAACAAAAAAATACAGAAACTAGGTCAATTTGTTAGCTACATATTTACAGATAATTACATGATTTTTCACTCACAATTGCTAAAAACTATGAGCGAAAAGGAAACTGTGCAGGTTGAATTACCCGTACTTTAGGGGGAATTCTTGGGCATCAAGATACCCTTTTCATTCATTCAGAAGTCTCATCTTCTCTCCACTTTTTCATGGCAAACTACCTACAGATGTCCAGATTAGTATATCCAGTGGGCATCCTGTTTCAGAGAGGATTAACCTTTTTCTCTATTTAAAGAAGAATCTCTTGTTTATTTAAAAACAAAACAAACCCAACACAATCAAACCTGCACGCGCACCCACACACACACACAAATCTCTGAAACTTCAAAAGGTCAGGATTGCTGGGAAATAGTTAACAGTGATGGTGACATAGTAAATGGCTCCCCAGTTTTAATTCTCTGCCTTTATTTTCTTTAAGGGATATCTATTTTTGGGTGGGTGGGAGGGAAGTGCAAGTTTAAGAAACCCACAACAGGCAGATAAGGTGCATACTAATTTATATATGTCTTATGATCTGAAAACTACCATTAGGCCAAATGGGTTCTCTTCCTTTTTATGAGTGAAATTTTGGAAATATGAATATAAACGAGGAAAAAATTAGTCAATGTGACTTTAACAGGGGCTACCAGAGTTCAGTAGAACATATAAATGCACAATAAAGGAAGAGTTCTCAGCTTCACTTTCTTTTTCTAGACAGTGTTTAATAAAACTTACTTCTTTACAAATTAATAGTTGTTTCCAATGTAGACCTATTGTAGTGATTTCATAAAAGTGCAGACAACATAACCAGATACACAGCAAAACAGACTTCAATCAGTAGTCCTTGCATACAAGAGGCAAGTCTGCTAAGTGTACAGCACACTCTTCATCCTTTAAGGAATCTGAGGATGGGAAATTTCCAGTTCTTAACAACTACGAGTGAGTGAGTGCCTTTTCAAAGGCACTGCTACAACCTGGTTGGGAACACTATCATGTTAGATGAGGGAAAACAAAACAGAGAATTTGTTCCTCTTTAATAATGATCTGTATTTTGCTAAGCGGCGCAAAGATGACAGCCCAAGTTTTGGCTTTGTTCCTTAGTAAAGGCAGTTTTCTATCTAAGAAACAAGAACCTCTTCTTCCATCATTATAGGAGATTCATACTTTATACCTTAAATATATTATTTTCTGACTTGAATACATACTAGACACTTCACATTGTGAGCATGGGAGAAAACGGTGGACCATATAAACCTCCTAGGAAAAGATTGCTGTGTTGGGCCAAATCTCTGCTTGAATAGTAGTGGCTCAGAAGTGGTGGAAGGTGCATGAAGAAATTACTATTAGCAAGCAAGAAGAGGCAGCTAAAGGGAGAAAGCCCCAGCCAATACCATATCCTTCTCTCCCAGTGGCCATTTCCTGTTGATTTTATAGTTTAGGAGAACCCAAGTTGTTTTAGCAGTAATTTCCTTCTTGGCTGTTTTGGTCTTCAGCAAAATTTATAATTATTAGTATTAATGGAGAAAAAGAGTAAGAGAATCAATGGCATCACTACTAAGAATTATGTATAGAGTGCACGTGAAGACTGTGATTTATTGATTCTTTTTATCATCTTTGCAGAGGAATCACCACTAGTGGTTCATTCCTCTCTGCATCACTTTTTATTGCATCATGACATAAACTCACAGAAACACTAACTGGTTCCTTCCCCAGCACTATTTTACTGCATTGCAACTTATGGTTCCACCTTTTACTTAACTTTCTTTCCACCCACACAAGTGCTAAGAGGGGACTAAAAAAAGAAAAGATTGCATCCAATGACCACCTTCTCATAAATATCAACCCAGCGTACTCATTCTTAAGAAACACATGCATTCTTGCCTTAACTGAGGACTGAAATAAAAAACAAAATAACAGAACCTTAAGTGCCCTGATGGAAATGTACAGTATGAGTTACATCCATCTATCTATACACACATATAGACACTCATATGTATATACAATATATACATACAAATGATAACAGCTATACCAAAAATGTGCATATTTAACACAGTTTTAAAAAGCCAGTAGATCATGGTATAATACAATTTATTTCCACTAGTGAATGGCACAAATGGAGAAATGCAAGAGGTGTTTCAAGTACAATAAAGTCATTTTTCACAGGTGAAAATAAACAGTATTATTCCAGTGTCCAACACAATGTATTCTATAAAAGTTTAAAACGTCAGACATTTAGTACTTAAAGAAGTAGAAAGGTACTAAAGCCTGCCTTATGGTCTGAAAAAGACACTCATAGAGTTCTCGATTTTTGAAAAAGGGGTGAGGAAAAATAGGTGGGAGCGGGATGGAGTGTCAATGAGTTTCTTTAGTGTACTGAATGGTGTTTACCTGATGTCTAGGCAGCTGAAAATCATGACTATGCTAAAAAGTTCAATTTACCAATAAATCCTTGACCTAGAGTACCAAGCATATTATACCTGTGGGTGTAGCTTCAAATGCAGGACTATTCATCTCTAGGCACAGAAATGACTAAAAAGAACGGCAGCTCTGAACAAAAATAATACAAACACATTTTCCAGCTAACATTATCTATATAATGAAAATACTTTCAAATACTATAATTTGGGGTTAGAGTTGACTTTAATAAGGGGAGAAAAAAATATGCGCACAAGGAAGGGAACCCAATTAGGAATAATGTTTTTCAAGGTATGAGGTTTTGCATTTTTAAAATGCTAACTAAAAAAAGGGAGACACAGTGAACACAAGAAACTTTTTAGTGCCAAGCTCTGGATACCAGACATAGCATTTATGACTTTCTGATATGCTGGACAAATTTCTCACACTTTTAATTTTCTTAAACACATATATATTGAGTGAACAACAACACTGGGAAGGAGGTAGTATTAATTTGATCAAACGTTTACATTTGCACACTGATTCAGAAAGTGCCTGCTTCTTTCTTTAGGATCTCTGAAAACTTTTAAAATTTTCTGGCTACAAGCTTTACTCCTGATGTTTTCTACCACGTATGAGATTCCTCAGAAGTTAGATCTTACAAACACACACAAACCAATTAATTTGAATCATTTTTGCAAACTATATATATTTTAATTAAAATTAATTTAATGGAATAATCCAGGTATAGCCATGACCTACACATAAAACTGATTGCCACACAATTAAATCAGATACAAAGCCCTACTGGGTGGACATTTGGAATCAGCATTCAATCATGATTTTACAAGTACCTATGATCTACATGAACTAGGTAACTCAGTTGGACTAATTTAAGTCCACAAGTAGACTTTAACATGTACCATTGGTAGCATTTTGGATTTTAAAGAGTTTTGTATGCAAAACTGATCTGCTTCCCTATTCCATTCCTCCAGTAGTACAGAGGGGCAAGATCTAATAAAAAATTTTTAAAGATATCAAATTCCATTATATTTTTTGACATTTTATTAATTCTAAGGCTCTCTCCTATCATTTTCCTCCATATAGGTACATATGTCAATTTGCTTGAAATATTGTATAATATTTGAGTGCAAAAAAGATACTGAGAAAATTAAAAGCCCACTTTATTAGATATGACAAGTGTATGTCATATTCACCTAAAAACTGGTGATCTTGAGCATAGTCAACAGGACAATGTTCCAGAGTGCCACCTGAGCCACCACCTAAAATTGTGTGTGAATTCTACTCTGACCTTGGTTTTAAAAGTATTTACATTAAAAATTAATTTTTCTTCTAGTTACCTTTAAATGAAGGCCAGAAACTTCTAAAGGGGCGGATTCGTGGAGGTTGGACTGACATACCTGGGGGAGACTTAAATTCGGTTGAGAAAACCAAGATTTCAACAGCGGTAGATTCCTGTCAGGTCATTAGTCTGGTCTAGGTGAGTATCATTGAGAGGGACCTACAGACTTCTACCTTGGAGCCCTGTGACTATACGAAAAGCAGGATCCAGAGCTAGCAGCAAGGGTTCTTCAAGACAACTGGGGAGGGAGCAGGACAATAACTTGTAAGAAACTCTGATCTGTCACTGGAAAAGGACATTTTTTTCTTCAAGTCATACTCACAGGTCCCTATCCACCTTCAACTGAATTTCCACACTGGCAGTGGAATACCAAGTAACATCTGACTTTCAGCATTGGGTTGATCCTTCATTGCAAAACAAAACAAAACATGCCCCTCTCTAGGGAAAAAAAAGTCAGCTTTTGTCAAGAGATTCCCTGACCACTATAACTTACTTTACTTTTTTTTTTTAATTTGCCAAACTTGCTAGTTCCTTTTCAGTAGTACTTTAGCACTGAGGCTAGAGACTTCTAGAAGTGGTGTTTACTATTGTGTGATGTTAACATGATGCCAATGGTCACTAAGTCTCAAGGAACTAGAAGTTTGTAAAGTATTGCAGCAACAAAAACAGCAATTAAAAAAAAGAAAAAAAGAGGACCTGCACATGCAGCAAAATCTACAGTGGTGATGAGGAATAGTCAGCAGCTGGTAACGTCATTGGCTCAGTGACTCCTGGTTCACTATGGCAACTAAACACTTAAATAATAATTGGCTATTCTACTTGTAAACAGGGAATCCCATAAGCCAAAAGGGGGTAATCAAATTATGTCTACGTAGTGTAATAAGAATTCCAATAGAGGGCAGTTTGCAAATATGGCATCCATCATTCAAATACCTCTGGCATTTGATTTGTATTGGCTATACATCTTTGTTTTTGTACAAACAAAGTAAAAGTACTGTTTGGGGTCCTGGGAGTTACAGAGCTTAGCTAGGATGAGATATCACAGTATAAGCAACAAAATGTCAGGATATATAGGCTTCATCTCCTCACCCTGCTGCTGAACATACCCATCATATGAACTTTCAGGGACCTCTCTCACCCTTCTGGTCTTCCCCTTTGAGGGCTCATAGGTTCACTGATGCAATTCCCAGACAACTTGTGATCTCCTTAAGCACCTCCATCTCACCATGCCACAAAGAAGGCACAATTGAAAGGTTAAAAAAAAAAAAAAAAAAAATCACTGACAAACCTATGCAGCATTCAGAAAAAGAACTAAGTTGTTTTCTACTTTCTGAAAAGTCAATACAACCCTTTAGTGTTCATGGAATTCCGCTTTCTTTTTTACTCCAAATGAGGCTGAGAAGTCAGAGCAATTTAATAAAGAAAATACATTGGTGAGGGGATACAGGTATGTTTCCATAATAACTTGTTTCAGCATATACTGCCTGCTGTGAGTGGCTCATAAGAATTTGGGGGTATGGAGAAAGGCTTTAGATCTTTTCACAAACTTCGTAGGATATAGTTGCCCAAAAGTGATGACTCAAGCCACTTTGCTGCATTCATTTTTTGCAGTGTTCAGAAAATACCCCCTATCTAGCCAATTTCTTTTTACCATATGCATGATATATGTGTGTGCGTGTTGTGTGTGTGTAAAGACACACACAGACACACACATATCAATTCCCCTTTTCAAAATTTCTCCAAAAGGTTAAAAAACAAAACAAAACCCGGCAGCCAAATACTATGACATCCCAATTAGTGAACACAAAACAGAACGCTTTACAAAAATGAATAAAATATACCATATGCACTCAGCTTCCACACTGTAGTACCCAAGTGAGGAGGCTGCTGTGACGATGTCTGTAGGCAGTTTCTTTTGGCAGACAGCTCCAGCGGAATTGCCACTCTCAATTATTAAGTTATGTATAAGACATGTGTGACCCATTGGATATTTGTGAAGTGACACTCGTGCTTCTGCTCATGCCCTGCTCCGTCCGTCCCCCAGAAGCTGTCCGCCTCAGAGCCTGAGGGCTATTGCGGACTCCCATACTGCTACCTCGAGGTACCCCTTGCATTGGCCCTGAGGGGTGACCCCATGGCTGGGGTCCACCTTGCATTGGATGGCCCCAAGCTTGTGGTGGGCCACCCATGGGATGACCCCAGTGAGGTCCTGGACCCCCAGTAGGATTGTGAGACCAACCAGAAGCTCCCGGGTAGCTGTGGCTGAATGCCTCAGGGGAGAGATTAGAAAGGACCATGTTACTAAAACCTAGTCTCATGCTTTCAGAGTCAAAAGCTTCAATTTCTCTGGCTTGACGCTCCAGCAGGCTTCGTATTCGTTCTGTGCGTTCATTCTGCAAAGCCAACATCTCTTCTTCAATCTGTTGGGAGTTGGGGAAGGGAAGCAAAAATAAGTTGATTTATTTTTAAAGATCTATAAACTAAGGAGGCAATAATTACTCAGCTTTGAAGTAAATCATAAAGTTCACTCTGGCTATCTTATGGATGTACATTTAAACATCAAAGAGATGTACAAAAGAATCATACATAATTTATATTTTTTAAATGTGTGAAATCAAATCTTAAAAGCAAAGGTAATAACCTCTAATTAAATCAAGGCAATCATCATCAATGGCTACTAAATCCATTAGGAGAAAAGTTGAATGAGAAAGAAAATGGGTGAGGGCAAACCAGCCTTATCAGACATACCATAATGTCACTCTAATAAAATAAATATGGTATTGGTGCAGGAATAGACAATTAGTGAAACAGAAAAAGAATGAAGATCTCAGTTTGTAAGGTTTTAATGCAGGACAAAAGCAGCAATTAATTCAATGGGAAAAAGATGGATTTTTAAAGAAATAACACACACACAACTGGCCAACCATCTGGAAGGAAATAAAAATGGAACCCCATCTTATACCATATTCTAGATGGACCAAAGCCTTAAGTAAAAAACAAACAAAAACTATAAAGTTTTCATTAAAAAGTTAGGAGACTTTATTTAGTGGTTGGGTAGCCATCATAATCAGTTCTGGAAAACTGGAAGGTATTACAAATAAATATAGTTGACTGTACATAAATTATTTGTAATATAAGAAAATACATTATAAATAAAGATAATAGACAATGAAAACAAAAGTTGATGGAGAACTTTTTTATGAATGATCAGATTGAAAATATCTGAACCTGCTGATCAATATTAATATCACTTAAAAGTGGGACAATTTGACATTATATATCTCTTGATGTGATGCAAAAGAAAATACACAGTAACCCTTATGAAAATTCCTTGCAAAAATTTTTTAAAATAAAAGAAAAAATTAAATCTAAATATAATCATGCCTCTAGATCTAATTACCAGTTTATAGGAAATATGAAATAAAAGAGAGAGGAATACATTAAAAGACACCATGAAGATGCAGTGAGCCAAATCCAGAATGTGAGAATTCCTACAGGGCAAATGATCCAACACACAATTTTTAAAAAAGGGGCAGGAGAGGGGAAGGGCAAGGAGGAGGGCCTATTACAGACTAAAAGACTTAAAAGGCAATTAACCAAATCTAATGTCTGGACCTTGTTTGGGCCCCAATCCAAATGAGCCAACTTTTTAAAGAAGACATTTTTGAGATAAAAGGGGAAATTTAGGCATGGGCTGAGTATTAGATAATATTAAACATTTATTATTCATTTTGTTAGACATCACGATGGAATTATAGTCGTGCTAAAGTCAAAAATTTACATTTAGGAGTGAAATGATGTTATACTGGGATTTGCTTCAAATCCCAATCAAATCAAAAATACTCCAGGTACTCTCTCCTACCTCCTGCTCCCCCCAAAAGCTGTGTGTGTGGAGTGGAAGAATCAGTAAGAAAAAATTAGCAAAATATTGATAACTGTTGAAGTTGGGTGATGAGTACTTGGGGATTTCATGCACTAATTCTTCCTATTTTGCGTATGTTTGAAAGTTTCCATGATAAAAAGTTTTTAAAAAGTAGGAAATAAAGAGAACTTATAAAGGAGCATTAAAATAATCAGGTTTCAAGATGTTTAAGGACTTAAGCCAGTAGTCATTGCTCTTTGCAGAAATCTAGCTCAACAAATACATTTAGTTTTTATGCATCAAGTTTTTAAAGTGGCCTTTAAAAAAATACACAGTTTAGCATGCAAAACATGCAAATAAAAAATTGCAGCAGAATCTGATAAGACGTTATAAAAGATTTATAAGGTTGTAGCAGAAAAACAAAGGGATGGAGTTATTCACTCTATAGGGGAGGGAGATTAGGGCAAAGAAGCCTTCTCAGAGGTGGCAGAGACAGGATTCTGAAGGAAGACAAGAGGAGGGAAAGATATTTTCAGCAGAGGGAATGTGCAAAGGCATGGAAAAATGACAAAATAAGTGTTTGGGGAATTACAAATAAGCCAGAATGGACTCCAGTAAGAAGAGTTTGAAAATTATTGAAAGTTTTAAGTACTAATCTGTTACAGCGGTTTAGAGAGGGCATTTCATATGAAGACTGAAGGAGAACTCAGACATAGATGCTTCTTCTGAGGGAAGGACATCAAATTGTTAACTGTGGTGATTTCTGAGTGGTGGGATTAAAGACATTTCAATTTCTATTTATGTTTCTCTATATTTGCCAAGTTTTAAAAAAATGATGGTGTTTTTGTAAAATAATTTTCCCACTCTTTTAATATCTATATATAAAATACCTAATTCACATAAAATTACATTTACATATCTCTAAAGATTCAAAGAACTTCAAAATTTTTAAATATTTTATACTTAAAATTTCAAACTTCATTCATTAAAAGCATTTATTTTAATTTGAGGGATCTAATAAATGATGGGAATGTGCTGAGCATAAAATGGATCTGCATGCCTTGTATATTAGCTAAAGTAAACTCACGATAAAAATATTAAACAAATTAACGCTTATCAATTTTTTATCTAGTAAGTATTGCCTCAATTTTGTTTGCTGATTAGTTTTGTGATTTAAGAAACTCAGAACATTTTTTTTGTTTTAAAGATTTTATTTTTTTTCCTTTTTCTCCCCAAAGTCCCCCAGTACATAGTTGTATATTCTTTGTTGTGGGTCCTTCTAGTTGTGGCATGTGGGACGCTGCCTCAGCGTGGTTTGATGAGCAGTGCCATGTCCGCGCCCAGGATTCGAACCAACGAAACACTGGGCCGCCTGCAGCAGAGCGCGCGAACTTAACCACTCGGCCACGGGGCCAGCCCCAGAACATTTTTGAATTAAATAAAAATAAAAACTAAGATTTGTGCTAGATTACATTAATCCCCCATTTCTTTTAAAACCTGTTATTACTGCAAATTCGAAACACAGTCTCACTGAGTAGATAAGAGTTACCATAATTAAGACTTTTGAGAGGCTCTCTCAACCTACCTTCTTTGAAATCAAATGTAATATTTTTGTGGGGATATTTTCAGTTCCACAAAGAAAGGTCCTGTAAGGTGTTCCAATTGCCAATTCTAAGTTAAAAACTACCAACCATGTTGTTGGTATTGAGTGAAATATTGAGAGAAAATTAAATGAAATGATAAAACAAAACAAGTCCATTTATGCTTTGGAAATACTGCATGCATGTATGAAATTTGCATGGAATTTAACATTTATAGTTATATTGTCATCTTGCTGAAATTTTAATGTAAATGAAGTATGAGAAAAGTTGTCATAAGACTTCATGTGAGTCAAGTGAGGCTTACTTGGTTGGTGTCTCAACCTAAAGGAACAATTCTTTGGAGGCTTAAAGCAATCTTCAAACAGAATTATTCATCTAGAAACAACTAACATTCACTCTGGTTCCACCTCTATTTTCAGATGACTATTTCTTATCTGTACAACCAGTACACACAAAGTGCAGAAAATACAGCTGTTATGATTTTTCAAAGTTTTTATAAAGAGGATACATGGCCTTGGTAGTTGTCAACTGACCCCTAACTGCTTTACAGTCATGTACTTCACTTAAAATGTAAGCATTAGTCCTAAAAATCAAGTAGCAACTCAAAGCACTATAGATTTATCATCCTATTGTTCTTTTATTATTTTTAATACTAAATAATCTTATGTATGTTTTTTCTATATTTTGGATTTCTTTTCCTTAGAGAAAATTCTCAAAGTCTTAGCTCAATATATACTTCCAAATTGCTTTCCAAAATGCATTAACAATGTATGAGAATGCCACTGCACCCTCACCAATGGGTACCAGTTTTATGCTCACATTTTCCTAGGCTTTGTAGAACACATAGACTTTGGTTCCTAAATAGTCATGCACCACATAACAATATCTTAGTCAACAATGGACCACATCTAAGATGGTGCTCCCATAAGATCAGTACCATATAGCCCATGTAGTAGGCTATACCATCTAGGTTTGTGTAAGTACACTCTATGATGCTCAAACAATGACAGGATCACCTAAGGATGCATTTCTCAGAATGTATCCCCATTATTAAGCGGCACACGACTGTACTGAAATAAGACAATATCTAATATTAATTAGCATTGTTTAACTCGGAACCACTAGGTGGAGCTAAAAATACAAATATACTTGAATAGTACCAATATTTCTCTCACAACACTATTCCTGAAACACTATAGAGAGCTTTCCTTTTAGTGATAATTTTGAAGCATAAGACACAGAACTTTAGATTGAATTTTAAATATGGAAGTTGGAATCAGACATGAAATCTATACATGGGACAAACTAGATTTTTCTCAAAATTTATATGTTTCTATCTTTCCCATCTTGAATGAGAACATAATTGAGGTAATTTTTAGAGGCAAGTACCTTTCAAAGAAGTCAGTAATAAATTCAGCTGTGTCAGAGACATAGTAACATTATTTAGGAGGGCTTTTAAAGAGTATATTTTTTAATTTAATAAGGCATTCTATTTTCATCATAAAAACTACGGGAAATAGAGAAAAATCTATGGGCCAACAGTCCAGAAACAATGACAACTTTTAACAGGTAATACCATTAGGCAAGTATTATCTTATAATGGAACAATGGACCTAAGACTATACTAGCTGTTGAGAACTTATGGCTTAGGAATTCTGGAACATAGTTCTGAATTCTGGATACAACTGATACTCTACTACTTTTCACAATAAATGCCTTTCCTCTCCTTCTCTCAAAATCTTCTGCCTACCACCCTTTCATCAAAACACACACATACACACACACACACACACACACACACAGAGCTTTAGTGCCTTGAAGGATGGAAATGAATTTGGGGGTCCTAGCTCTATTCTTTAATATGTCTATCAAAGAATAAGCAAAAAAAAAAAAAAGAATAAGATACATCCAGAAGTAACATTTTCTCCAATCTCCTTAGGTTGAGCTTAGGTACATAAAAGAAGTGAGGAACATGGAGCCAGAGCTACTCTCTCACAATTCAACTGTCTTTGCATAACCCCATATCCTTCCTCTAGCAATTACTGCTTTTTTATATTCCCTTGATGTTTAGAACTCATTAATTATAAAGTTCATTATTGAATCAATAATTTTAAAGAAAAAGAAAAACACTACCAAAACTAGAATTTAAGGAAATAGGGTACTGTGGAAACAATCTCATGCCAGCTCTGTCGATATAAAAACATATTTACAAAATGCTTCTGATGAAAGCAAATACCAGCACAATTACCTTCCTTCTATTACTTATACCTTTTGTTCTAAGAGTGCCCTGCGGAGGGAGACCCTCTGTTCAAGCTCCCGAAGCTCCCGATCATGTTGTGCCTCGGCTTGCATCTTGATTTTGCTCTGATATGCATTCAACAGCTCCAGTTCCTGCTGCAGCTGCATCTTCAAAACTTGGCACTCTGCCTCCTGTGCTTCATCCAAACGCAGCTGAAAGGAAGAGAACAGATATATCCCACTGTGAGCTATCTATTCATACCTATGGAAAGGAGGAGGTGTGAGAGAAGAGAGACTATTCTTTTGTAGGATAAACAACTGTTCTCTTTTGTATCTTGGAAGTAAACATATCCGAAAAAGGAAGGCACAGTATAACCAATGATGGTATTATGAAGATAACACTATCATAAGCTATTTGGATGATGCCTAAATAATCATATTTTTCTTAAGAAAAATCCAGAATCTGATTAGGTGATATAAGACTCTGAACCTCTTCTCTCCAATGGAAATAATTACAGAAAAGGCCAGCAAACTACAGCCTATGGGCCAAATCTGGGCAGCTGTCTGGTTTTTTTTAATAGCCCTTTAGTTAAAAATGGTTTTTACATTTTGAAATGATTACATTTTAAATGGCTATATAAGGACCCACATAATATCCTCAATTTTGCCTCCTGGACCACAAAGCCTAAAATATTCACTATCTGGCCCTTTAAGAAAAAGTTTGCCAAACTTATTTAGAAAATATTTTGTATTTGTACTCAAATGTGACCATTTGGATTCCCAATACAGTAGTACTTTTTTCCCACTGCTTATTAACAAAGCTGCTACTCTAATCTTCATAACCTAATGGGATATGTGGTAACACCTGAGAGGCGCTGGTGGAGAGCCTATTTAGAACCTCATGTCTAAAACGTATCAATATGAATTCTATATACATCATGCCTGCTTCGAGAGCAGGAAGAATATGGACCACCACTATTTCCCAAGCTGCAGAAAAGCTATAATTTCCAATTAAGTGTTTTAATTGTTGGGATTTCACTTAGGTAGTGGAAGGAAAGGGGCACTAAATTTGTTTTGCCTAAATAAAACAAACTCACGGCTTGTGTGGAGAGCATTTCATTAATGCTGTGATCATACTGCTCAGCCAAGATGGCTAACTTCCGGGTCTGCTCCTCCTTGAGCCGTTTCAAAACAGCTTTGTGCTCACTCTTTGGTGTAGTCTCCAGTAGGTGATTTCTTAATGCTTTGTACTGTCGGGTTTGGATTTTGCAGGTGTCCTGAAATTGCTTTTTTATTTGGAGTTCTTTAGACTGGGAAGAAAAAAAATAGATGTATAACTATTAACATATGGCATTTGGTATACCTTATGCTTACAGGAAAATAAAGGCTACTAGGAGAAAGGGAGAAGAAAAACAAAAAGGTCAAATCATAAGGTTGTAGCTACTTTTGCACTTGGCTATTGGGCCAAACCATTGGATTCTATGCACTTTTATAATAAAAATTCTAATTTAAAACATTAGAATATCAAGAACCTCCTATATCACAGGACTTCAAGCAATACTCATTATTTTGCTAGTAAATTTAGTGATGAGTAAATATTAAAATTTGCCTTGATTACAGTGTATATTGATGACAGAAAATTAAGTTTCTTCTCGTGCATTAAGCGTAGTAGATATAAACGCACGTTATTGACCAGACAATATTTGATCAGATCTCGGAGGCAGAAAATAAGCATATGTACTCTATTCCTTATCTGAGACACTTTGCTTCACTTTCTTTTAATGACCATCTAAAGTCTAACTACATAGTCTATGACCCTATAAAAGTAGGGTATTAGTAACTGTTATTACGATTGTCTTTTCCTTAAGGAAATAAAACTAGGTAGAAACATACTTAGTAATGGCTTACTCTTTAACACCAAAACAAACAAAAACTTGAAAGTCAATCAAGTTAACTAATCTTTCAAAGGTCAAACAAGAGTTATGGGGCAAGGGAGGGGACAAGCCTTCTTGGGATGATAATAACAAACATAAACTACAATATTTCTGAGATAAAATAATTTGAGTTCAGAGACAGAGGCATTTTGGCTTTAGTTTTCAGTTAATCACAAGTTAGGTATTCTATGAATTCAGCTTTCACTAAATTTAATAAGATGAGATATATTTCTATAAGGTATATTGATCAAGCCCACAAGTGAGAATATATTCATTTACTACACTAAGGCAGACACAGAGCTGAAATTATTTTACCTTAATATAAATAGTGCCAGATATTAATTAGTTGACTGATTCAGTGTGTAAGAAATATATATATGACCAAAGTAGCACACTTGCCAAGGAAGAAGTTGTTCACCTCCCCTGCCACACTACATCATCAAATATACCCTTTTCATATTTTACACCAACCGAGGCACTAGGTCATAGTCATATACCTTTATTCTGTGAAGGGTCAAGAAATGTTTAGCTAGAAAGAGAAACTCTCGGTTTACCTATGCTTAGTAGCACCACTCTTAAATATTATCCTTGGTTAACAAAATTCTTCTAAGTTAGCCAGGAAAGAAACAATGAAATTTAGATATTCCTTCTGCCTCTGTATAACAGTCACTATTCTTTCATACGTTTTTATTTTTTAAAATATTGTACCAAGAAAACTGTAATCATTCCATATCATTAGCCTAACGAGAAAAAAGAACTTGAAAAAAATTTTTTCCACTTACTGATTTTTTTCCCCAATTTTACCGAAAAATAATTCACATACATCACTGTTTCAGGTGTACAGCACGATGGTATGATTTGCTTCTATGGTAAAATCATTACCACAATAGGTTTGGCTAACATCCATTTCCTCATATAGAAAAATTTTTCTTCAATAAGAAGAGTAATATTTATGCCAAGAATAAACTATATCCCTCAATATTTGACTCAAATGAGTCAAGATGAATGTAAGTTACAGTTGTTTCTACTCATTTCACACTGACAAGGCATCATCTGGATGGCAGATGAAGAAACAGGTTTTTGTTTACCCAATCCATCCCACAGAAATGGTACCCAAACCCCCACAAATCCTAGTCAACTCACGTAAGTGCTCAAACTTAAGCCTTCATACCCCTTTAAAGTCTTGGAGAAAGATGTAAGAGGCAACTATTACTCAGGTAAATAAAAATGGGATGACTTGGTGTTAAAATCTAGTCTGTTTTGTTCAAATTGAGCAAAGTAGATAGATATACATAACTAAGAAGAACATGGTGATTTTCGTTTCTACTAAAGTAACAGAATAATTTCCTTTATGGAAAATCTTGAGTTCATTTGTCATCAGAAGGAGGCATTTTATTAAAAGTCCGACCATTTGTGAAACATTATTTTTCTCCTCACTTTTTGTACAGTATCTGTGAAAATAAGACTAGTGTTTACAAGCTTTCAAACTGAAAAGGCTCCAACAACAGGAAATAGAAAGAAAGGGTTCAACATCAAACAACAATCTATCTCAAGCCCCAGAGAAGTGCAGTATGTCAGATTCATGGTATGATTATAGAAAACTAACAAGCTTTCATTTGGCTTACTTCTAGGTGCTGCTGAATTTAAAACCATAATTAATTTCACAGACCTGTTTTCAAAATCTTTTGGTGGGAAACTGTCTATTCTATAGCCAGAAGAGTATATAGCTTACCACTCCAAAGACAAAATAAATCAGAGAAATCATTATGAGTTCAAATTTTTCTAAGTAATGACTAAAAGGTTATCTGGGTAGTCAACATAAGCTACTCTGTAAGTGATGTTAATAAGCTGTTTTGAAGGTAGAGCAAAGTGAAATTTTACTCAGGTTCACAAGGAAAGGGTAAAAGATCTTAACTTTGCTTCCTGTTCAGGACATTTGTTTGAACGGAGTGTGTAGTAATTGGGGATACCATAAGGTGTAGTGTAGCTTCTAGATTTTGACACAGGTTACCTCTATGAATGAATTTCACTTCACTCCAGAACAGTTATTCAGGTAAGACCAAGAACAGTTTCACAGTTTATCGTCAAATAGTTTTAAAAGGGAGGCAGGTTTTAAAAAGAAAATACTGTGGGGCTGGCCTGGTGGCATAGTTATTAAGCTCGTGCACTCCGCTTCAGTGGCCCAGAGTTTACAGGTCTAGATCCCAGGCGTGGACCTATGCACTGCTCATCAAGCCATGCAGTGGCAGTGTCCCACATACAAAATAGAGGAAGATTGTCACAGATGTTAGCTCAGAGCCAATCTTCTTCACCAGAAAAAAAAAAAAAAGAAAGAAAGAAAGAAAAAAAAGAAAATACTGTGGGATCTGGGCCTTATTGGATATAAACAAAAGTTTAAAATGTGGAGAAATGTATGGATTAAACGAGCAACTACTATGGATGACTATATAGTGGGTGGTTTTGTTTTTCTTTATTAAGATTCATGTGATTATACTCCTTCAATCTTTTACAAGTTATAAAATTTGAAAATTTCTTGGAATTGTTAACTCTGGTTGACTGTGGTGGAGGGCTGGAACAGGAGGCTGGAGGGACAAGGGAGAGAGGGAAACCTTTAACTTTATAATATACTTTGGCATCTTTCAAATTTTATAACGTGAATAAATTTCTCTATTCAAAACAAATACAAAATTTAAAGTCCTTTGTTATTATATACCACCAACACTTGTCTTCCCTTATTTGTTTGAGGGAGGGCATGTAACAACTTGCTCCACTCTCATGTGTTAATTGGAAAAATATATATCCCAACTACCTATACCATGGTCTTACCTACACTACCGAGCACACAAGGGAAATAAGCAGAATGGGAGTAACACTGTGATGATTCCACTATTGCTCTTAGGATTAGTCTAGACAATGAAGGGAGGGAGGTAAAAAGACATTTTTCAATCACTGGATTCTGTAATTATTAAGAACTTACTGTCTTTTTTGGATATAAAATACATTTAGAGCAAATAAGATTCCAAAACTGTATTATTTAGAACAACAGAGAGAAGCCAACTGGTTAGTATGTAGACATGCAGACTATAATATTAGCATGGGATATGTGGGTACGTTTAAAATTAAGAATTTTGATTCTTACTTATGGCAATTCCCACAGTTAAAAGTTTTGGCCATTTTCTGGTGTTCTGCTGAGAAATAGATAAGCAAAAGTCTGTAGCTACAGACACTCCACATTAAAACTAACCAAACATCTTAAAACGAAAAAAAAAAAAGTTTATTCAATTTCTTTATGACAGACAGCTGTCTTAGATTTTTACTGTTTATGTGGATGCCTTTTATCCCTTTTCCCCTTTGTCGAGAAGCTTAAGCTAAAGATACCTTCAGGCTCTTAGGCTGTTGTCGAACCTCCATGACATGCTTTCGCCTTAGTTCTCGTTCTCTTCGCTTATTATATTCCAGCTGGTTAGTGAGCTCAGTTTGATGCTGCAACCTGATCAACTCACATCGCATCTTCTGAATTGTGTTGAGGTGGCGGAACTCCAGTTCTTGCATGGATTCATGCTGTCGCAGTAGCATGGCATGCTCTAAATCCTTTTGCGTCTGCCTTTTATTTAACTCCTAATCCATAACACAAAAGACAAAGGTATAATTTGCTGCTGTACATTGCCAGGAAAAAAGAATCCTAAGAAATATAATACCCAGGAAACAGATATAATCCTCTGATTCAATGGTTGTATAATAAAAATTAGAGTTTTATGACTTTTAATCATAAATGGGTAGTAAATGGGCAATTACTAGCACAAATTTCCTTATCCTCTTCATTTACTATTCGTTAATACTATTTTATGTAATAAGTTTAAGATATACCAAATCTATCTCAAAAGGCTTAATGTCCTTCCTTCTTTTATTTATTGCTTCCTAGTCTTGTATTTGAAGAGGGCTCCTAAGTTATCCTTTGAATTTCTTCAGAGTAGACTATTTAATTCTATTACATGCAGTAAACCTAGTATAGTGCAGTGGTTGGACTCTAGAGCTAGGCTGCCTGTATTCTAAATCCTGGCTCTGCTACTTATGAGCAGTACGTTCTTGGGTTATTTAAACTCTCTGTGCTTCAGTTGCATCACTTCTCAAATGGAGATAATAATACAGCTATTTTATAGATTTAATGTGAGGATAAAATGAGTTCATAAATGGAAAGTTCTCAGAATAATACCTAGCACATGATATTCACTATATGTTCTTATTCTTTCTTTCAGATTAAAAAAGAACAAGTGTACAATACACACACACACACAATGCAGAAGTCAAACTTGCCCCCTTTGGCTCTGCAAACCCCTTCTCCAGAGGCCAATTGTTTGGTGCAAATGCTTCCCAACCTTCCCCATGCTTACTGTGACACATGTAGTATACAAAAACACACAGTTTTAAAAACTGAATAACAATATACATTACAGGAATGTAATGTGCTTTCTTCATCTAACGATATAATGGACATATACCCAGATCAGTACATATAGATTTTTTTTTGAAGTTGCATAGTAAGCTTCTCCTCTGCAGTATCATAATTTTTCAATTTTTTGCTTTATAAACAAATTTTCAGTAAATACGCATGATGATCATATAATCATGTCATCATTTCTTTAGGATAGAGTTCTAGAAGTCAATTTGATTGGCAGAAGCATACGTGCATATTAAATTTTAAAAGCTACTGTTGAATTATGCTCCAAAAGGGCAGCATCAATTTGTACTCTTACCAACACTGCTCATTGCTCCATGTCACTACCAGGACTCGATGTTATCAATCTTTTAAATTGCTCTTATCAAATTAATGCAACTGTTTTAATTTTAATTTCTTTAATTATTATAGAATTTGCACAATTATGCTATATTTGAAACTCATCTTAAGTGACTCTTAGAAGTAAATTTATCTATGCTCACAGGTATCCCTGATAATGACAACAATTGTTTTCATTGGCATAAGAGTTTCTACATTCATCCAATTAATAACTACACGATTATAGAAATGTGTTAGGGGCCGGCCCTGTGGCTGGGTGGTTAAGTTTGCGAGCTCTGCTTTGGCGGCCTGGGGTTTTGCCGGTTCGAATCCTGGGCGCAGACATGGCACTGCTCATCAAGCCATGATGAGGCGGCATCCCACATGCCACAGCTAGAAGGACCCACAAATAAAAAAATATACACAATTATGTACTGGGGGGCTTTGGGGAGAAAAAGGAAAAATAAAATCTTAAAAAAAAAAAAGAAATGTGTTAAATGGTAACACACTTCATGACACCTATTTCAGATCAAAAGGTATATATTATCCAATCAATTTTCTTAAATTTAAAAATGAATACTTCTTTCATTCATGAATTTAGTATTTATTAAATATTAAATATTTATTTAATAAATATTTATTGAATGCCTACTATGGGCCAGACACTAGATATAAAGGCCTGAACAAAATCTGTGACTTCATATCGTTTCCATTCTAGTGGGGGAGAGAGACTTCCCCAAAAAAACTGTGTGAGTTTAACAGAGAGAAGTGTAAAGAAGAATGTGTGAAGAAGGGAGAAGGATTTGGTGATCAGGGAAGGCATTTCTGAGAAAGTGACATTTGAGGAGAGACATGAAGGAAAGCAAGCCGTGTAGATATCTGGGGAAGAAGGATTTAGGCAAAAGGAAGTACAATGGCAAAGGCCCTGATGCTAGGATGTGACAGACACATTTTCAAGAAAGGTTCTGATTTCACATCATTCATACACACCTCCCTGACGAGGTCCTGCTCCAAGTTATGGCGCCCAAGTAACATTCTTCTCTTGAAGCGACGGCATTCTAGCTCTAGGTATTGTCTCTGACGTCGAAGAAGATTAGCCTCCTCTTCTGCTTGGAAATGCTGTATATTCTCCTTCTGCTTTGAAAGCCACTCCTGTTTTTCTTTTTTTGGGGTGCTCTGATTTTCATTCAGCTCCTGACGACACAGAAAACAACTCAGTTCAAAATACATAAAAATTAACTACATGAATATACCATTTGTTATCTATTAAATTTAATAAAAGTACTTAATTTGTGTCCTCTCTAATGCTCAGGCAGGGCAATGACTTTAAGGAGGTAGGTAATATTTTCCTTTTTCTTGAGTTACCCATGAAGTAGGACAGGAAAAGGGAAAAGCACACTAGAAAACATGCATACCTTTTAGCTTTGCATAGCTATATTTATGATGGTGCCTAGCTGCAAAAGCACACAATGATTGGTAAATAAAACACATCTTTCTTTAAATCCTTCCCAAGACAGAAGGCAGTGCTTTCAGGTTGACATCATATGTGAATTAAAATCAGGGTTAAAATACAGTTATGTCTCACTTCTTGGTTTTCAACATTCTAAATACTAAGTTTTCGGCAAAATTACAGATGGACTCAATATGAAAGAATTGGAAATTAAATGTAAAATCAACAAAACCATGGGAGAATAGAGACCTTCTTTATGAATGGTACTTAATCTTCAGCATTAATAATCACTGAACAAATAAAAACCAATGCTTTTCTACAGCATTTTAAATATCATCTCACAAACTACCTACATGAAAATGCATTTATATTGGGCAAGATGAGAACATTGATGATATACTCAATGAGGCAAACCCTAGGATGCTAATTAATACTAGTATATTTTCAACCTAAAAAGCATCAACATTGCACAGAACATAAATAAGCCATCTTTTCTAGGTATAAGATGACTTTTCAGAGACTACTATCCTTATGGTTCTTCCTCTGTTATTCAAGAAGGAAACCAATTCTTTATAACTTTAGTCCACAAAATATTCAAACATATAAAAATAAAAAGCACATAAATTAGTAGTTCTCACCTTAAGGGTGTACGTGTACACACACTATGGGAAGAGAGAGGGATAACACAGGTACATACATAGAGAATCACGCGGGTATCTTTTTCAAAATCTTCTGCCATGGAACTTCCTCACCAAGACTCTATTATGTCCCTTCCTCTATACTGAGAATCATTATTCTAAATGAACACACACACACATACACACACAAATCTGGCTTCTAAAAGAAGATGAATTTATTAGTTGGACTACAAATTATATGCCTAAAGGATTATCTAAACCAATACATCCATAAAACTAAAATCTTATTTCACTAGGAAATGGAACTATAGAACTGCATTTTGTTGGATATTTATTTACAGTTGGAATCTTATTAACAATCTTTTCAAACCCAACGTTCCAGTGTAGAGTCTGGCTTTGTATTACAGTCATGGGAATCCACTGCAGGTTACACCCTTTAGAGTTGGAAAAATCTTATCAATGAAGCTCACTTGGCAGGGTATATATAGCAATCTCTGTGCCACCAATAGGTCCATTATAGGACTTACATATCTGATTATAAGGCAAATTCTTACACATACTAAAGCATTAATATCAAAGAGATTACTGTTATTTTATCAAGATCAATTAATTTACCAGTGTGCTAATAATTAATTACATGGATTAAAAACTTCAATCAGTCTGTAAGAGGGGATATAAACTGAAAAATAATCAGTATGTTCTCCTACTACAGAAAATGTGATGAGCAAATATGCCTCTTAGCCTTACTCTATGTTAAAAGCGGAATAACAACATATTATTGTAATCTTCTGAGTCAAAAGTAAGAAGGTATGGCTCACTTTTAAAGAAAGAAATGCATGGCTTTTTTTCACAGCTCAAATATTTTTATTTCTAGTGAGTCAGTTACTTAACAAGTGCATAGAAAAGCTATTATAAATAAAATAATTTATATTTATATACTTTTTAGATCCTGCTTAAATGAGGATCTCAGTCCACTGAAGAGTCATTGATCTCAGTCCACCGAAGAGTAACTGATTATCATCAACGTCTTCAATCCAACCCCTTACATTTAGGCGCCCACAAACAACAAAAGAAAAATTTATCCTAATGGTTCTATGAGTTGATCAACATCAAATATAATCAATAAGCAAATAACTGGCTTGAAAATTTTTATAAAAAAGTACCTCTTTAAGCTGTTCTTTTCGAAGTTTATATTCTCTTTTCTGGGACTCCAAAAAGCTATTCAGTTCTTTCTTCTGTTGGGCCTGAATATGTTGCTGAAATTTTTTCTCCTCATTGGCCATGACTTTGGCCTACAGAAAATTTTTGAAATGTATCAAATTACTTAAGTAGATATATTCAAAGCAGAGTTTAATAAACATCACCAAGGATGCCCTTTTTCCCCAAAGAACATAAAATCAGTATAAGCATTATCAAAATAATAATATCCAACAAATTATTAATAAGTGCTACTCAGCGTCTTTAGTATTTGAATTTCAGAGAACCAGTGAAATGGAGCTCATCTTTAAAAAGATTTTATTTTCCCTTTTTCTCCCCAAAGCCCCCCGTACGTAGTTGTGTATTTTCAGTTGTGGGTCCCTCTAGTTGTGTCATGTGGGACGCGGCCTCAGCACCGCATGATGAGCAGTGCCATGTCTGCGCCCAGTATTTGAACTGGCGAAACCCTGGGCCGCTGAAGCAGAGCGCTCAAACTTAACCAGTTGGCCACGGGGCTGGACCCTGGAGCTCATCTTTAAAATGTTGATCTTTGGGGCTGGCCTAGTAGCACAGTGGTTAAGTGCCCACGTTCCGCTTCGGCAGCCCGGGGTTCACCAGTTCAGATCCTGGGTGCGGACATGGCACCACTTGGCACACCATGCTGTGGTAGGCATCCCACATATAAAGTAGAGGAAGATGGGCATGGATGTTAGCTCAGGGCCAGTCTTCCTCAGTGAAAAGAGGAGGATTGGCAGCAGTTAGCTCAGGGCTAATCTTCCTAAAAAAAAATAAAAAGTATAAAATGATCTTTCACAGGGTCAAAATGTTTTTATCTTTTCTTTTTCATTTAGCAAGAGTATGCCTTCCTCGCAGTAAAACAAAACACACATTTATCCATAAATATAATTAGATCATGATCTTTTATCTAGATTGACTTGTGTATTAAATAATACATATTTTCATCTTCATATTAAACCCTGGCCTCTAATTTACATATTAAATAATACGAAAATGTTAAATACTAGATATATGTATCATACTGTATTATTTCTGATTATATATACAATATATATTCATCGTAGAACATTTAGGATATACAGAAAAACACAAAGAAGAAAAATCTCAAATGACTTTAGCACCCAGAGATAACCAATATAAACATTTTGGTGCACACCCTTCCTAATTTTTTCTGTGCGCATAGATATATTTCAACCAAAATGATAAGCATATTGCACATCCTGTTTCATGAATTACTTTCCTAAATATGTTACTATCTACCTCTTTCCAAGTTATTAAAAATACTATACAATGCCCAACAGGATTCTAAATATTTGGACATTCTTTTACCAAATAATTTCAAAATTAAATATTTATTTACACCATAAATTATTTTGCCAAATTCTCTACTGTGAGAGGGTGGTTCTTCATTTTTTGGGGGAAAGAGTGAACAGGGTAGGTATGACAAATAAGGTCTCAATGTGGACTAGCCAGACATATTTGATGATATTGTGTGAATTTATTGAGAAGCTTACATTTTAACGGACAAACATGACTATTAAAATAAAATGAACTATTTGGACAGCAAAAACATTAGAAGAAAAGGTTTCATATAACAAGAATCCTTAAAAATCTACCTTTATCATGGAGTAGAACGACCCTTATTTGTAAATAAACAAGTGGGATAAATCTGAATCTCTCTTAATTTACAATCTCTAATATACTCTGTATATATTACAGTAATCTTCAATTATTCTAATATAAAAATGCTGCTATAAATTTAAGGAAGATTTCCAAAAAATACCCAGAGAAAAGAACCATGAATTATTTTTTGAGACCTAAATCACCTAATGATAGGTGAGTTCTCAAACTACTCAGATAAGCAGGGTACCCGAGGTCTAGAAAAGTTGAACAACTTACCCATTGTGACACTATAAAACTACCAAGTGTCAGGAAATGATCCCATGTGTGCTAGTTCCCAGACACGGTACTTACTATTATACACATTATATAACTGTTTCTCCCTTTCCCCAATTTTCTTGGTTCTTGGGAACGGATACCCTAACATTAAAATGCCATCTTGGTTAATTCTGTGATGGTCACAAGCTAGAATAAATAAATTAATAATACTGAATCAGCCACCTCTTTTTCCATAGCAGCCTGATGTTTCTTGATAAGTTTCTCCATTTCTGCAGCAAAATTGTTACGTTGAGTTTCAAGATCTTTGTCTAATCTGAGGCGATGTTCATCCATCTCAGCCTTTAGCTTATTTTCCAGAGTCATCAGCTGCTTTTGATGTTGCCGCCTCATTCTCTTATAGCCAGACATCTGTTCTCTAAGCTCAGAGTCCTGCTCGTGTTCCTGCATTTGCCTCGTAACCTAGACAGGCAAACCAGGAGAGAAAAGAATAAAGCAAAACATTTTTCCTTCAAAAGCATTTTAGACCACTCTACTATTAACTAAGTGAGCGATTAATATAAGAGATCCAAGTTCACAGTTTCCAATTAAATTTCCAGCAGGTCTTTTAAAGAAACAGACAAGTTGGTTGTAAAATTTATATGGGAATTTGTAAAGGACCTAGAATAGCCAAAATAATCTTGAGGGAAAAAAAAGTTGGAAGACATATACTTCAGTAATCAAAACAGTGTGATAATGGTGTAACGATAAGCTGAATAAATCAAAGGAACAGAATACAATCTAGAAAGAGACCCACGCACATTCAGTCAATTGATTTTCTACCAAAAAGTCAAGTTAATTCAAAGAGGAAAGGAGAGTGTTTTTAACAAACCCTACTGAAACAACTGGTTCTCTGTTATCAAAAATAAACAAACCTTGACTCCTATATCACTCTATACACAAAAATTAATTTGAAAAGAATCATTTGACCTTAATATAAAACCCAGAATCATAAAACAGAAGAAAACATAGAACATCTTCATGACCTTGGAGTAGGCAAATATTTCTTGGGCAAGACAAAAAAACACTGACTATAAAGACAAAAATGTATAAATTAGATTTTTCAATTGAGGTGAAATTCACATAATATAAAATTAATCATTTTAAAGTGAACAACTCAGTAGCATTTAGTATATTCATGATGTTATGCAACCAACACCTCATTGCTACAAAACATTTTTATCACTTCAGAAGAAAACCCTGTATCTGTTAAGCAGTTGCTCCCCATGCCTGCCTTCTGGTAACCACCAATCTCTTTTCTGTCTCTACAGATTTATCTATTCTGGATATTCATATAAACAGAGTCATATAATGTGTGACCTTTTGTGTCTGGTTTCTTTCATTTAGCATGTTTTCAAGGTTCATCCACATTGTATAGTATGTATCAGTACTTCATTCCTTTTTATAGCTGAATAATATTCCAGTGTATCCATACACCATAATTTATTTATCCATTCATCCGTTGATGGTATAAAAGGTTGTTTGTACCTTTTGGCTATTGTGAATAGTGCTGCTATGAACACGTGTGTAAATGTACTTGTTTGAGTATCTGTTTTCAATTCTTTTGGGCATATACCTAGGGGTAGAATTGCTGGGTCATGTGGTAGTTCTGTTTAACACTTTGAGGAATCATCAGCTGTTTTCCATAGCAGCTGAATCTTTACATTCTTACCAGCAATATACAGGATTTCCAATTTCTCCAAATGCTCTCCAACACTTGTTATTTTCCTTTTTTTTTTTAATAGCCATCCCAGTGGGTTTTAGGTGGTGTCTCATTGTGGTTTTGACTTGCGTTTCCCTAATGACTAATGATGTTGGGCATCTTTTCATGTGCTTATTGGCCATTTGTATATCTTCTCTGGAGAAATGTTTATTCAAGTCCTTTACCCATTTTTTAATTGAGTTGTTTAAATTGGATTTTAAAAGTAAAAAATTTTAATTTCTCATCAAGACAACAGTAAGAAAAAGAATAGGTAATTCAGATGGAGAAAAAACATTTGCAACATATATATGACATAAAACTTGTATCCAGACTATATAAAGAGCTCCTACAGATCAATACTAAAAAGACGAACAGAACATCTGAATAAGAAATCAGGCAAAAGTCTCGAAGAGACACTTCACTAAAGAACATATATGAACAGACAATAAGCACATGAAAAGGTGCTTATTAGGGTGTAAAAAAACCCAGTATGAGATTCCATTTCACACCCATTAGAATGGCTAAAATAAAAAAATGACAACACCAAATGATGGAGAGGATATGGACCAAATGGAACTCTTACACATTTCTAAGAGCATGTGAAATGGTACAACCATTTTGGAAAACTGTCTGACAGCTTCTTATGAAGCTAAACATACATATATCCTATGACTCAGCAATTCTACCCTTAGGTATTTATCATAAAAAAATTTTAAAAATCATGTTCATATAAAGACTTGTACAAAAATTTTTATAGCAACCATATGTGTAATAGCCCCAAATAAGAATCAAACCAAATGTTCATCAATAGAAGAATGGATGAATCTCAAAAACATTAAGCTGAACAGAATAAGCCAGATGTAAAAGAGTACATTCTGGGGCCAGTCCGGTGGCGCAGCAGTTAAGTTTGCACATTCCACTTCGGGGGCCCAGGGTGTGCTGGTTGGGATTCTGGGTGCGGACCTATGTACCATCTGTCCAGCCATGCTGTGGTAGGCATCCCAAATATTAAGTAGAGGAAGATGAGCATGGATGTTAGCTTAGGGGCAGTCTTCCTTAGCAAAAAGAGGAGGATTGGCAGTAGATGTTAGCTCAGGGCTAATCTTCCTCAAAAAAAAAAAAAAAAGAGTACATTCTTTGTGATTCCATTTATATGAAATCTAAAAACAGTTAAAATTAACAACAGTGAAGAAACAGAAAGTGATGGTCATGGAAGTAGAGAAGTGACTAAAGAGGGGTATAAAGAGAACTTTCTGTGATGACAAAAAATTTTACTTATCTTGTTTTTTTAGGTGCCAGCTAACATACGTGTGTACCATTGTAAAACCTTTTCAAATTAAATACCTAAGATCTGTGCAATTTATTGTATAAAAAAAAATCCAAGGCATAAGTTACAGACTTAGTTATGATATATGGTAATTATATCAAGTAATATAGTTATGCTTATATTTGTACATAAATCTACATACTCTCTGAATGTTTCATTTGAAATAAATGAACTACTGGGTTTAAGGATATGGATCTTAAGTTTTCTAAATCCATAACTTAAGTGCCCTTAATTAATTTGAGGGGGCCAAAATTTGGGACAGAAGACTTGCTTGGGAAACATTTAATATATACCAACTCACGAAGATGTTTTCCCATGAGCTGGCCCCTTTTGGTAGTTGTTAAAATAGTGATGAAAAAATTAAGCAATTTTTGCCACTGCTTTGTTTAAAGAGTTATTTACATGTTGCAGAATAGTAGGAATGACCTGACTTACGGTGTAGGATAGCATTCTTGACCCCACACGTCATACAGATTCATGGGTCATAGCACGGGATTTATAAAATCTGCTTATGTAGGTGATAACTCAGATAACACCCATATCTTTTTTCTTTCTGTCATATTTCCTAATAGCCTACTTTTATTATGACATCTTAAAGTAATTTCTTTCTATCCCTAGTAACCTTTATCATGTTTTGGTCCTACTTATCTGACTGATCAGGGTTATAAGCACCCTACTATAACAACACCCTTGTAATGGACAAATAATGCACAAATTATTATTTGGGAAGTCAGAAGAACTATATTTTGAGTGTATCAAAGTGGATTACCAGCCATTCCCAAACACCTCCCCTCATTTTGGTTAGCCTCTGTATTTCCTTATTATCAATTCTTATGTGGAAATAACATTTCTTCTCCCACTCTGTGCCTAAAACTGACTGTTTATTAAAGGCTCAAACCATTTGTTTTATAAATTCTTCCTTTATGCCATGAATCAAAAGTAATCTGAATTCTCATTTAGCACCTTGTAGTCCTCTTAAGCATTTAAATATATTCTAACCTTTTAGTTATGTCTTGAAGATATTATTAGTTTAATAATATGATTAGTTTAAGCCCTTTTAGAGGGCTTTGTATAATATCGTTCTCATAATAGGACTTAAATGTTAAATGAATGTTTGGCAAAAAAAACCCCAAATACAAAAAAATAAGAGATACTTGAGTAGTGATGCCAAGGTCCAACAAGAAAAATATATTTTTAATTCAAAGGGAAGTACATACCAGTGACGCCGTCCGTATAGTAGCAAAGTGTTCTCGATTACGGTAGTGTGATTTATGACGAGATACTTGGGGCGGAGATTGTGGATCTGATGCTCTTGTTCTAGGATCTCCCTCTTCTCTGTAATTTTCTTCCTCCTAGGCAAAGAAAGAGACAATACTATCTGAGGTGAACAAACACAGTTTGTTTGAACTTTCAAGACAAAGTTTAAAGACAACTTGATCAATAAATCTCAAAGACATAATTTTAAAAAGCAAAAAGCAAACAGAAATTAGGAATGCTGACGTTTCATTTTTGACATAATTAGAATCAGGAGACGTTATTTCTTCAGTGTATGAAACAGCACATAGATTCAGGTTAAGGAAATATGTAAGACTAGATTTATATCCTACTCATTATTATATGCAAAATTGAAAAGCTTTAATATAACTTAAAACAAAGATGATGAAATACACAGCAGAATTTTAAAGAGCAGTAATAAAATTACTCTAAGGCTCTTGGGTTTTAGAAACAATGTTATAGCTTAAAAATATCTTTATAATACTTCTGCCACTTGTCAAAAATAATCAAAAACAGTTGTAAAAACTTTAAGAACTAACGTCTTTCCTTAGTTCATTTACTTAAGAGGAAGTCAATTAAGTAGCAACCAACTAAATGTGTGAATAATCTTTTTTACTGATGATTCTATTGTCTAAGAATATAAAAATTAAACACGATTTTGCCCTGAATAACACTACGATTTAACTAAATCTTATTCCCAATGACTTTTTCTCTGTGTGTGTTCAAATATATATAATATAAAATTTACCATTTTAACCACTTTTAAGTGTACAATTCAGTGGTGTTAATTACATTCTCAATGTTGTGCAGCCATTGCCACTATTTCCAAAACTTTTTCATCACCCCAAACGGAAACTCTGTATCCATTAACAAAAGAATCTCCATTTCATCCTCCACTCAGCCCCCTGGTAACCTCTAATCTACATTCTGTCTCTACGAATTTGCCTATTGTAGATATTTCATGTAAGTGGAATTATACAATACTTGTCTTTTTGCACCTGGCTTATATCACTTAGCATAATGTTTTCAAGGTTCATTCATGTATCAGAATTTCATTCCTTCTTATAGCTGAATAATATTCCGTTAGATGTTTACACCACATTTTGTTTATTCATTCATCTGTTAATGAACACTTGGGTTAGTTCCATCTTTAAGCTATTATGCCTAATAACTTTTTAGGTCATACTGCAAGCTGTGAAGTTAAAAAGGAAGCATTCCTATTAATTTGCTTAAAGGAGTTACCTGATCTTCAAATATTTTCAAGAAAATTTTAAATTTCGCACTTGAAATTGCAAAGAATAATGTAGCAAACATTCATATTTCCTAAACCTAGAATTTATAATTTTCCACAATTACACTCAGTTTTATTTAAAGCTGTAAACATTACGGATAATGCAGAAGTCACTTTTGATCATCACCCATTCTAACCCTTTCTCTCATTTCCCAGAGACAACTGTTATCATGAATTTCATGTGTATACTCATTATTTTTAAATATTTTATTTTCCATCTAAATAACTTCAAATATTACATTATATAGTTTTTCTGTATTTATTTCTTCTAAGATTTAAAAAATATCCTTTCTGTAGTTTCAAAACATTAGTTTTCCAAATGCAGACATTACATTGGGAATTAAGCCTACTGCCATTTTAGAATAAGTTACCCAAAAATGTTCCAAACTTCTGACACATCAAAGAAAATCTCCCCTTAAACAAATCAGATGAAGAAAATTATTTACCAAAGTCAAACTTTTTTTTCACTGAAATCCAAATACTCACAGGTTTTAAATGGATGACAGAACTATTAGACATCACCGTGTGGTCTCCCTCCATCATGTCTAGTTCACTCTTGTCATCTGAGGCATCTGGAAGACTGTTAACACTACTGCTTTGGCTACTGGCACTGATGGACATACTGGGAATAGACTGATTACTTCCAACGCTATTCACTGTTCCTGTCCGTCCAACACCATGATCTTGTTCCTAAGGGAAAAGAGCATTAGGTTCAAGTATCTATATCTCTTTTGATTCTTGATTATAAGCACATAGCACACTGTGTGGCAAACAGTCTTTAGAAAGAAAGTCAGAGGTCTAGCATGAGAAATTCCCTTTATTTGCCAAGACCAGGAAGTTTACCATCTGTTGACAGAAAAACGAACAAAGAAAAATGACCAGCAAGTAAATAAAAAAAACCCAAACAACTGTGTGAAAAAAATCAGTTCATCTGTTTCGGGTTATTTCCAAAGTGTAGCATTTTCCCTAAATTGTTTGACTTTTTTGAAATCCATTTCTACCACATATCTCATGGGGGATATATAGAGATTATGTTCATTTCTCAATGATCCCCATGGTTAAAACAAGTCCCAACTTTGAAAAAAAAATCCTATTAACAACTACTTGTAGTTATTTTATTTTATTTTTTTTAGTGAGGAAGATTGTCCCTGAGCTAACATCCATGCCAAGCTTCCTCTATTTTGTATGTGGGACAGTGCCACAACATAGCTTGATGAGCCGTGCGTAGGTCTGCACCCAGGATCTGAACCTGCAAACCCCAGGCCACCGAAGCGAAGCATGCAAACCTAACCACCACACCACCGGGCTGGCCCCTAGTTGTTATTTTTTATTGAAGCTTTTTATATTTTTCTTTCTTCCTCAGAATATAGTCCCCAGCCTATCCTTATAGCACCTAATAATTTAATATTAATTCCTATTTTTGTGTAAATTAAAAATTACATATTACATATATAATCACAATCACAAGAATGTTTTTCTGAGTTAACCAGGCAAACAATGGTATCTGGGCACCAACATTATAGCAGTCCTACCACATTAAAATTCTACAAGATATGCAGAATTTAATAAATAAAGACACATGGTATATATATATATAGGAACTTTTCTTATATCCCTAGCCTAACAGAGATGCCATTACAGATTTAACTACATTAGAATTTTATTAATTTCACTTTACTAAAATATTTCATATTTCTAAAATATCCCAAAACACCTTTCTGATGACTACTAAAAGTAAAACCAAAAATACCAAAACTATATGTTAATAAAGTCGTATTTTATAGTTCATTAATTATGTAGCACTATTAAAAAGAAAAGAAAAGTAAGTAATTACTGCTCCTGGTTCCAGAATGCAAAGTGATCTCTCTCACTGGAAAGCAATAAAAAAGAATCAAAGCTTTGGAATTCTGATAGGAGCAAAGAAGAAAACTGAAAGCCTTTAGAGTTAAAAAAAAAAAAGCTCCACAAATAATAAGCTTTATATGTATATTTACTTGTGAGAAAGTTCTGTAACATTTCTATTGTAAATTTGTATTTCCATTCTCCCCAAAAGCAACATGAGAAGAACTTGGCCTTGAGAGGGAGAGAGATATGAGCTTGAACCCACTGCCTCTACCTATGGTGAGTTAGTTAACCACTCCGAGTCTTGTTCTACTTATCTGAAAAATGAGTATTTAAGAACTGTGTGGATGGAATGAAATTATGCAGAACTGAAAAGAATCAAGTGACCCTGGAGAAAGAATAGAATGCTCGGCAACTTTCTAATGACTTCTGAGTACTGTCAACTTCCAAAGACTTAATTTCAAATATTTCCAAAAGCATGTTCCATGGAATTGGACAATCAGGCAAAAAATGGGGAGCCAGGAAGTTGAGAGGGACTAGATTAAATAAAGGTTTATTTAATAAAAGACTTCACAGGGTTTTACTATGCCAATATGTACTAGGAAGCGGTTGGGTTTAAAAAATGCAAAACCTTTTTTTCCACCTGTGATCTTATAGGACCAGTGTTAAGAAAACACAATCTGGGAACCACTGATATAAAAGATTTGTGGCAAGACAAGTTGCATATGGAGAGAAACCAATAAAGAGAGCTCAATATTTGAGTCATTTTCAAGTTATTACCTCTTCTTCTTCCTGTGCTTCTACTGCTGGTCCATTATGTGCCTCCTGGAAAAGGAGTTTCTTCATCTTTCGATACTGCAGATTGTCTAGCTCTCTTACTGCATCCTTTGTCCTTTGAATGAGATCTATTAACACTGTTTCAGGGCGTTCCCGAAGAACAAACATGTGCTGGAGAGGAGTAGAAGGTAAAAGTCAGGTTGAAACCGATGTATTTTTTTTAAATGAGTACAAATGTACCTCTTCTCAGACCCTAGAGTTACTATCCTAAATAATCATGATAGACCATGTACATAATCTATAGCTATCTATTCTATTACACTTCTGACTTCTTATACTCACAAAATTGTTATTTACAGATATATACTCAGTGCCTACATAACTATGCCTGTACATTTTATAAAAACTTTGAACATGATACTTTTATTGGCCAACTGAAAATGTAGAGTTGAAATCAAAGGGTCTAATTAAACACTAAGAATTAAGTCCAATTAGAGCTGTAAATAAAGGCTAAATAAAAGTTTACATATTCCTGCAACTGCTGATTTCATAGAAAAGGCACATTTAGTTCTGAGTTATATGAGATTTCGACAGGAATGTATTTACTGATGGTGGTTTATGTAACATAAACTTGGATATTATAGGTTCCTTCATATGTTGCATAGGCAACACTCTTCACAAAACACTAGCTGCTGACTAAAAGCCATTATATTATTAGTGATTTTTCCCACCAAATTTTAATAAAGTTTAACTTTATCAAAAACAGAAAAGTAGAAAGAAGAATTTCACCACTAGAATTATCACTGTTTCATTTTGATATATTTCTTTTCAGAAATTTTCTATGTACAGATTTTCTTTTGTAGATACATAGTTAGCACATAGATTGCATTAAGACACCTTCTGCTTTGAGTTCATGAGATGCTCTTGAATTCTTAGAACACTTTCATCTTTTTTGTTAGCTCAAACATTTCTTTTCTATCCAAAGAGCTGGAACTATATGATAACTGTATTCTACTTTCACTGTCATAAGTATTATGTTATTTCGAACTCAAAAACATAATATCTATAGAATATTTCATCAAATGTTTATGCAAAAATTATTTTAACCATTACCCTAATTCTGGATAGTTATTTCCAATTTCGAATTCTGAGATAAACAGCTTCATACATTTTAAAAACTTATTAATTTTTTTAAATCTATGATGGACTATGATTGTAATATAATTAGGCCAAAGGGAAAGAAGCACTTGATACTTCCTATCATTTCCAATAAGGCTGTGCAAATACTATGGACCAGGTAAATGAATACTACATGCAGACGTGGGATCTAATCACCAAAGGCCAAATACCTGGCCCTGGTGGGTTGAGTTATTATCAAAGAGCTCCTTTTGCCTATACAATCGTGTGCCACATAAAAACTTTTTGGTCAACAATAGACCACATACATGACAATGGTCCCATAAGAGTAGTACCACATAGCCTGGGTGTGCAGTAGGTAATACCATCAGGATTTGTTTAAGTATAGTCTATGATGTTTGCTCAACGACAAAATCACCTAATGATGCATTTCTCAGAATGTATACCTGTAAGTTATACATGATTATATTAGACAAGTGTAAGAAGCCAGTTACATTCTTCCCTTTTACTGAGCTTTAGCTTGGTAGGTACCATTATGTACAATGTTAAGTCTTCCTCCCCAAAAATAATATATCTCATATTTCTAAGTTTGATAGTTTTTTAAATATAGATCTTGTTTATTTTTCACTAACCTAATTCCTAGCTATACTAAACCTTTGTTGCTATTCTGAGTACCTATTCATTCAGGCATTCAGTTTGAGACTATGAGTGAGCTTACTGCCTAGAATTCCCCAAGTATTACGGAATCTTTATATTGCTCTTCTACATACTGTGGCTGCAAATAATACTATCAAATATATATGATCCTTTCAATTTCTTTGTATCTTTAACTGATGTGTGTTGGTGAAAACAAACTAAACTTCTTGAAATTCTAAAACACTCATCTAAAAATAGTCTACTTAAATCTTATAATGAAAAATTAACAAGATTCCTTAGGGTCACGAAGAGATACAGTCAAGGCCTACTTACTATTGCCTTATCTAGATGCTTTAAGAACTATATTAAGTTCAACAACACTAGTATTGCTATTAATAAGATGGTCAAGCTCCAAATGAAAAAACAAATTTTTGAGAACAAAAAGCATATACCAATCACGTATTTAAATTAGGCAATCAAACCTACTGAAAACTGAATAGGATTTACATAATTTAAAAAATATTTTCATTGCTAAGTTAGAAAAATCTATTTCCAAAAAGGAAACACAAGTATGATAGCTATTTTTAACAATTTCTTTTGAAATGTCCTTCCTCCCAGAATATTTATGTAAATATATTACACATAGTTTCCCCTTTTTTCCTATTATTTTAATATAGGAGAGATCAATACATAAAGTAGGGTAGATATAAAAATTAGATCCAAAGCTAAACTATGTTTCACCAACTTTGAAATGACATTATTCCCTATGAATTAAAACATAATTATAACTCGTGAATATATTCTTGTGCATATAAAAATTTAGCCATTTCATACTATTTTGAATATTTAACTATATATTCTATTCAGACATGGTAAAGGGAGTTGGTCAATTTTGAAAAAACAAATAAAAAACTCAGCACCAAAGAAAAGTTCCAAGACAGAACAGCATATAAAATTAGTATTTTGGTAAAAATTAGTACAGCATACTTAATACTGATTCAGAATCTAAGAAGAATAAAACACATTCTTTAAAATAATCTCTTAGGGGTAGAAAACAGACTTCAAGTATAATAGAACTGACCTTTAAAAGTTCCTCTGATGTAGGGCGATCTTGAGGGATTTTCTGGAGGCAAGAATCTACAAAGTTGCGAAAATAATCAGACCTATTGTAAAGGAAAGTATCAGGTGAACATATTGCTATTTCCTTTAAAAACACATCTAAAAATCAAGGCATGTGCCTATTGGTGGGAGGGGTGATGGAAAAGAAATGATAAAAGAAAAAGCAGACATGACATATTAGATATCTCATATAAGTTTATGAAAAGATATCTTAAACAACCAATGAATCTCTACCATTTTCCAAAGATAAACTTGCACAGATTATTTAAAAATCCTGCTCCCATGTATTTAAACATCACAACTCATTCCATATTGAGGCAAAATTAAGGAAGCCAATGTTTTTCTTTTTTGCACTCAAATCTAAGATAACATTCCTCTCAATTTTGTTTTTTTTTCTCTATGCCAGCTCTCTTTCTTATTTGCCCCTTGGATCTTCTTCTACATATAGCATGTTTCAAAACATCACTCTATTTGCTTTGTAGGGAGTATCTACACAGTGTAAAGACAGTCTGTGATTAGTACATTTATTACTTATATGTACCATAATACTAAACTCTGTTCCAAAAGATTCCTCTTATGCCTCTACATAAGTAGCAAAGGCCTAGGAATGTGTCTCAACTATGTAATCATTAAAAAAATAAAGTACCCCTAATTCATGTATCTACTTGTGAACTTTAAAGTATTTATTAAATATGCTAGATATTTCCCTAGAATTTTTCAAATGCTAGACACACCTGAGGAATTAATTTCCCACAAAAATTTTCTATCACTGATAAAAATCCTAGTTTTCTAAAATTGTTAATCTGTTCTCCATAAACTTCTATACATGAATGAACTTAATTTTATGAAATTAAGGAAGCAGTAGGAGAACAAACATCAGAGCATTCTGAATAATAAATATCATAATAAAAATCAGAACAATCCCAAAGTTATGGATTATCTGGTAATTCTGATAAATCAAATCATTTTACCATATAAATACAAATTTTCATATCCCATATAAATTATAAATCATTCCCCAACAAAATATCACTACAGGTGTGGCTATCGATATATTTTAATAATAAAATATTAATGTTTAAATTGTGCTATTTGTTAATAATCAGGGTTATATGTTTCTAAAGTTCAAAGAAAAAATAAAATATAAATTTTTATAAAAAGAAATATTTTTTGCTTCTATGTGGTATCATCTATCCAATCTGAACTGAGTTATATACATGCTATGAAAAACAGACATAATAAAGATAAACATGATATAAGGGTACAATAAACCCATTTTAATATTTCTTCAGGTAAATACATTTTGAAATCATTGAAATCATTTTGATAACATTATGAAAAGCATTTAATTTATACAATGTTGAGTAACATATCTTTTACCAATACTTACCATTCATTAGACTGTAGTGTAGGGGATTCATTTTGGGCTATGTGATATAAGGCACTCATTGCATTCATATTAAATAAAGGAGGCTTCCTTTCCGCTATTGAAAAAAAAAGAGAAAGAAAACTTTCCTGTTAAAATATGTGCCTGTTATACAGGGGCACACAAGTATTGCTAAGTTTGATTTTTTTTAATAATCTCAAACTTAGCAAAAAAAAATTAGAACTGGAGTTCAAAGAACTTTTTCAAGTGAATCAATTTAGAGTAAATTGCTGACTTAATGCCCCACCACTCCTAAATACTGTAGTGTGTATTTCTTATAAACAAGAACATTCTACTAAAGTTGAAGTCATGACCTTGATAATTTTGAAGTATACAAGACTCTTGACTGTCTCTCAGTTTAGGTTTGTCCTATGATTAAATTTGGGTTATACATCTTTGGCAGGAATATCACAGAAGTAAATGTTATATTTTTCTCAATGTATTCTATGAGGTGGTGCATGATTTCAAATGGTGCTGTTATTGACTGGTGTTCACTTCGATCAATTTAGGCAAGTCTGCCACGCTTCTACATGGTAAAGTTTCTCTTTTTCCTTTGTAATTAATAAGTGTTTTATGAGAAGATATTTTAAATTTATATAAACATCCTGTTTTTCAAAAAACTTTCATTTTATTTTTTAAATTTATCATATGGACTTGTAGGTTTCTATTTTATTTAATAAATTATAATCTGCTACTATCACTTATTTTGATGTTCAAATTGCCTCACATTTGAGCAGTAAGAACCTTTTTGTGCTGGCTTCTGTTTTTTTGACATTGCCATCACTCCTTGATCACTTCCTTGCTTTCTGGCACACTAAGATGTTCCAGGGTCATCTTGTACTCTCCCTACTCCAGACACTGGATCAACCATTTCTCCAAGGAGCCATGGCAGTAGGTATGCTCACTGCTACTGAGGTGTCACTGCTCTTAGATCCTCTCAGTGGACAGTTAGGGAACACACACATATACACACTACATTTATATACAGACATGCACATTAAACAACTATATTTGTTAATTGAAAACAATTGAGTTCATTGAAATCTCTCAGATCCAACCCAATACCTTAGTATTTATTCTAGCGTTCTCTCTTTCCATTATTTGCAACACCCTTCTTTGACAATGAGAAACCTCGCTCTCTTTATTCTTAATATATTTTCTAATTTGATAAGTTTCCCCTGTACGTAACCAATCTCCCATCTATGCCACCACCCTCTCTCCTGAGCAGATGCCCCATTTCTCTGCTCAAGTTTTGAAACACCATTCCAAGTCACTCTACAGGGTGAACATCCTCTTCATCTACTCAGTTTCTGATACCTCACTCAAATCGGGTCACTTCTCTGCAGTGAGGCTCTCCTTATTAGTCCTCATGAGGGAAGCCCTCTTCCTTTTGATCAGGCACTGCTACTCTGTCAGGCCACCCTCAGATATGAATGTTTTCCTTCGGCTCTGACCCTATATAATAGGACACTTTCCCTGTTGTCACCTCCTCACCCTACCTAGGCTCTGATATCCCATGCTGAGCCACTTCTGTGTATGAATGCCTTAGTGATCACACTAGGGCTCTGAATGTCCAAACCTGACTGCCTCTTTGCATAGATACCCTCATTAGATTCTGTTTGAACATACATGGCTATTCGTCTGTGGGAACTCCCTCCTGTACTCACATGATTCTGACACTCCACCCTGGGCTACCATGGCTCACCAGCTGGCATGGACACCTACCTTACATTGTCCTACCTAATGGCTTTAAGACTGAGTAGTTTAGGAAGCGGAAGGGGTTATTAAAGAAATTCTGAATGAATGAAATAACTTGTATTTCCATTATAATTTATTAACGTACTTAAATTTTTTTTAATGGTGTACCATCAATAAATCAAACTTTTGTGTGTGCTTTTGTGTGTGTGTGAGGAAGACTGGCCCTGAGCTAACATCTGTGCCAACCTTCCTCTATTTTATGTGGGATGCCACCAGAGTGTGGCTTGACAAACGGTGCTAGGTCCACACCCGGGATCCAAAACTGTGAACTCTGGGCCACCGAAGTAGAGCACACAAACTTAACCACTACGCTACCAGACCAGCCCATGGAATATGCTTTTTGATTTTGTCACTTACTATAAAATTTAACATCTCTCAATTTTGTCAAAAAACACTGAATTTATCAGCTAAAAAATATAGAAAAGATTTACCAAATCTAAAATGTGGTAGACTTTGGTGGATTCAACTGACACTTTCTATCTCAAATTCTTATAAGCTACTATGAAACTAATATGATTCAAACTAAATTTATTTTTTAAAAAGTTAGAGATCCTACTCCTTATTATCTTGTACAGGTTTCTAAAATGTCTCCATCCAAAAGCGTAGACTGCTTCTGTAAAATTAAATTTTGAGTTGATTTTTGTGTATGGTATAAGATAATGGCCCAATTCCCTTCTTTTGCATGTGGCTCTTCAGTTTTCCCAGCACCATATATTGAAGAGACTGTCCTTTCCCCATTGTATACTCCTGGATCCTTTGTCATAAATTAATTGACACACGTGTGGGTTTATTTCTGGATTCTCTATTCTGTTCTATTGATCTATGTGTCTGTTTTTATGCCAATATCATACTGTTTTGATACTACAGTTTTCTAATATAGTTTGAAATCAAGAAGCATGATGCCTCCAGCTTTGTTCTTCTTTCTCAAGATTGCTTTGGCTATTGGGGGTCTTTCATGGTTCCACACAAATTTTAGGATTGTTTGTTCTAGTTTTGTGAAAAATGTCATTGGAATTTTGATAGGGATGGCACTGAATCTGTAGATTGCTTTGGGTAGTATCAACATTTTAACAATATTAATTCTTCCAGTCCAGAAGCATGGAATATCTTCCCATTTATTTGTGTCTTCTTCAATTTTTTTCATCAATGTCTTAATAGTTTTCAGTGTACAAGTCTTTCACCTCCTTGGTTAAATTTATTCGTAGGTATTTTATTCTCTTTGACACAATTGTAAATGGGATTGTTTTCTTAATTTCTCTTTTTGATTGTTTGTTTTCAGTGTAGAGAAACACAATTGATTTTTGTATACTCATTTTGTATACTGCAACTTTACTGAATTTGTTTATTAGTTTTAACAGTTTGTTGGCAGAGTCTTTAGGGTATTCCATATATAATATCATGCCATCTGCAAACAGGGACAGTTTTACTTCTTGGTCATAACACATAACCAAGTTCTTTCAACATTTATGATAACCAAGTATGAAAGAGTCATATTTATTTAGAACTATATTTATCAAAACCAAAGATAGTACAATTGATTTAAATTTGTTCTCTTACCTACAGAAAATAGTTTGAAATAGTTAATAAAAAACAGTTTGCTTTAATTCAGTATCCTTAACTATTTTGAATTAGAAAAGTATATAACAGATATATTTCCCAAGATTGCAAATCTAATTTACATTGAAAATCACGACCCTAGACCTGTATTGTCTAACGGTAGCCACTAGCCACGTGTGACTTTTTAAATACAAATTTATTTAAATGAAATAAAATGTAAAATTCAATTCCTCAGTCACATGAGCCACATTTCAAGTGCTCAAAAGCCATGCAGATTTGGAACATTTCTATCATCACAGAAAGTTTTATTAGCCTGTGCTACTCTAGACCTTTCCCTTGGAACCAGAAACAAGCTTAAAATATAGTTGCTGACTCAGTACTTCATAATTCAAAACATTTCTAAGTAAAATTTTAAAAAGCGATCATGAAAGACTATGAAAGTTGAAGATGCCAAATGCATGCCTAAAATTTTTAAGAGAATTTCTTTAAAATGTCTCACTCATTTAAAATTATCTAAAAGCAGTCAGTCACTGCTTTTTTTCAATGTTCTGAAGTTGCTTTATTAAGCACAAAAATGCTTATTTGTGAAGAAATTCTATTTTATGAACTATAATAAAAAGAGCAAGAAAGCCTGGAAAAACAAGAAGCCATTTCATAGAAACTGCAGAGTTTACACAGATTTCTTTCCGAGCAGTACAATTAGCCAATGAATACTTTCTGATCAAATGAATATTAAAATATATCAATGATATGTAACAGGACCATTAATATAATTTCACTATCACCAAGGGGCACATGTACGCATCAGCCAGCACAAATATATAAAAACATCCATGGGCAGAGTACATTAACCAGCTCCTCTACATTTATACCCAGGTTTCTTAAGAAATTAACTAGGATTGACCAGTAGGAAGAAAAATTAAGAGTAAAAGAATAGAGTTTAAGACAATTAAAGATACCTCAAATTGAGACCCAGAGATCAGAAGAGAATGACATTATGGTAATCTCCAAATCTGTTTGCTGATGTCAAACTTTAAAATAAATATGACCATACAGAGCTTGAAGGGAATAGTTAATGTAGGAATTCCAATAAAAGTGAAAATATTTAAAGATTACATTGTTTTGGAAAAATATTAGATTGTAAAACAGAAACAGTCTGGTTGTAATGGAAATTACAATATTCATCTACTGTTAAATGATAAGCAAGCTTTATTTTACCTCATTTACCTATTTATTTTAGAAACTACTGACAAACCCAGGTTGATAATGACTCATCAAAATTACACATGGATTTTACTTTTAATGTGTTATTTTCAATCCTAGAATGGTTCGATTAAATATTCCCAATATTTCCCACTTTTAAATAAAGTTTAATGGAATATTCTTTTAAGAAGAAAAAAAGGAAAGAATATTGGGCTGGTGTGGAGAAGCCTGGGGAATCAAGAGCAAGAAGACGGCCATCATCTTCAATTACTGCAATACTTCAGTTACCCACCTGGCTCACTTACAATGGAAAGTTAAAGTTATGATGGTCCACTGCCTTAGACATGGTTCCATTTATGGGTAACGGAATAAAATGTGTACATAAAATCAAACTGTTATAATACGGTGTGCAGCCTGACATCTAATTCTCATACCTAACTCAAAGTAATAAGTATCGTAGGTAGAGATAAGTCACGAACGCTTTAGAGATCTTCTATAGATGGTAAATCTAGTAATCATAGACATATTTTAGATGTTTAACAAATACTCATTAACGTTAGACATAGATACCCCAAACTTAATACCATAGTAGAAAATTATTTTAGACCTAATTTAACAGAGCAAATATAATATACCTAACCCAATATATATAAAAATTAACAGATAACCAAATTGAAAACTTTAATATATTTACTGTTCCCCTTAGTAACTGACATAAAAAATAAACAGCTGTAATTTGGTACAGAAATTGAGGTAGAACATTAATCAAAACTTACTACAGAGTAATAAAGAACAGTGCTTACCTAGTTCAATACATGTTATTCCAAGAGACCATACATCTACTTTGCCATCATACTGTCCTTCATCCATGGCTAAAATTACTTCTGGGGCCATCCTAAAACATAAAATGTCATTTAAATTAAAGTAAAAAAAAAAGTATACTATTCTTTAAAAATGTAACAAACATCTACATAGAGAACATCTATGTGAATTCCAGACAATACATGTGGACATAAGAATGTTTATAATGAGGAATAAATGCATTACAGATTGTGAGGTAAATAGTTACCATTGCGTATATAGTGTGAGACTCATTCTCACCATTTGTCATGACCATATATATATATATATAGCATCCTAAAGAAATGATACCCCAGAACAGGGCTGTATTCTATATCTGTATATACTGTATATCCTTTAGGCCAGTGGTCCTCAAACATCTGGTCTCAGAATCCCATTGCACAAGTCTGATTTTTGCTTGAAAGATGGAATTCTGTCATTGGCACTGAATACCATCAGTTGTTTTCCTTGAAGTGACAAGCTCACTCCATTTATTGGAGAAAATATCTGCCACGATAACCAACAATGAATAATCAGTTTGTCCATCTTTCTTTCAAGTAAGAATAGTGTTTCGTGATAAAAGTGGCTAGGGCTGCTCATAACTAAAACAGTCACACAATGATCAACCTTACAGGCGTCTTGGTTATAAGATGAAACACTAATTCATGTCTTCAACTAGAGTGTAAAGTTCTTTTGGGGCAGGGGGTGGGGGGAGTCTGGCTTTCTTTCTTTCTTTTTTAATTGAGGTAACATTGGTTTATAACATTATATAAATTTCAAGCATACATCATATTTCAGGTTCTGTATCAACTACATTGTGTTCACCCAAAAGTCCAGTTGCCATTCGTCACCATATAAATGTGCCCCTTCACCCCTTTCACCCCCCCCCCCCCCCCCACTGCCCTCTGGTAACCACCAATCTGTTCTCTGTATCTGTGTGTGTGTGTTTATCTTCCACATATGAGTGAAATCATACGGTACTTGTCTTTCTCCATCTGACTTATTTCGCTTAGCATAATACCCTCAAGGTCCACCCATGTCATTGAATCTAACATTCTTAATGGTACTTTACCTTACACTTCATTTGTAGTTGGTCTTAAGCACAGATAGGCACTTACAACAGCTGCTGACTACTTCAATAAGATTGTACCAGGCACCCCAATGTGTATGTGTGTATAAAGACATATAAACATGTACAATAGTTCCTGTCATCCAAATTCACTATATACAAATTAACAAATATGTACATAAAGTAAACCTTCAACTGTGAATAACAGGGTGATTCCAATGTGTTCTTTAAGATGTTAAAATAACTTTGGGAAATTACTAAGTTAAGCAAGTAATTTGTTTTTTATTGCAGAACTTTCCAGGGCCTTTGTATATCTAATAATCATCATTAATTTCTAAAGAGGGGAATCATTAAGAGATATTATTTGCTTACAGAACCCTTTTTTACAGAAGGGAGGTGGACTCTACCTAAACTTGGGTTCTAAATAAGAAATTTTTGGTCATCTAGAGAAGTGGTCTTCAAATTCTTTTACTCACTTACCTCCAATGAATTTATAAAAACTATGTACTGCCTTACGCATTTTTTAGTTGACATCTAAATGTGCTTAAAAGATATTTAAAACTTGGAGCTGCAAAATTAGCTCATTCAATCTGTTAAGAACACTAATTTAGCAAAGTAGGTTTTCATGGTCACACCAATCAGTCAAATCAGAATCGCTCTCTCTCAGAAAGCCTGACTTCATTTTTCAATGCAAATAACATGTTAATATGTCTCCATGACAACCATCTCAGATACGAATTTTATACTAGAAAAAAAGAAGGGAGGGAAGATAATTGGGGAGAAAGAAACAGCAAGGAGTAAAAGGAAGGAAAGGGACATGACTGGAAACGCACAAGGCCCTACTAACAGTTTGTGTCCTGACTCTTCAATATTTCCGACGTGCTATATATTCCCTCAGGTGCTGCTTTGAGGCTTTTACAACCCAGAGCAATGGATTACTGTAATATTCAGGATGCATAAGAAGCCTTTCTTTTATAAAGAGAGAGAAAGGAGATTTGAAAGGTAGGTAGAAAAGATGTAGTGGACCTAAGGCACCACTCTCAGCATACACAGGTAAGAGGACACATGGAAGCTGAAGATCTAGAAAATCATTCCCTTCAAATTGTAGACATTAATACTGAATTATTTATGGACAAAATTGGATGATGTCTAGAATTTGCTTCAAAATAACTGGGTGGGGGAGGAAATGGGTGAGAAGAGTGAATACATAGGGCAAGACTGGCTATAGGATAATGTTGTTGGGCTGAGTGAGCAGTATGTAAGGCTTCATTATACTTTTGTCTACTTTTATGCATATTTGAAGTTTTCCATAATAAAAAATGAAAACAAAACAAAATTAGAAACTCCAAATCAGCTACTAGTCTTCAGGTATTCTTAGTCTGAAGATCACTGATCCATAATAAAAATAAATCTAAAGAAAAAACACAAGGGAGCCAGTCCCATGACCTAGTGGTTAAATTCAGCACGCTCTGCTTCAGCGGCCCAGGTTCGGTTCCCAGGTGAGGACTTACACCATTCATTGGTGGCTATGCGATGGTGGCAACCCACATACAAAAAGAGGAAGACTTACAACAGATGTTAGCTCAGGGCAAATCTTCTTCAGGGAAAAAAAAAGAAGAAAACACACAAACTTCCATTTAGCATTTCTCTCTTCTCCCCACTTGAATTTTTATTGAATTTTTTCACTCTCACACCCAATATATGATGGGGGGGGACAAATAAAAAAACAGGAGATGCAAGGGCAGCACTCCAAATCTATATCTGAAACTAACTATAAAGCTTAAAGTTAAAATGTCAAAAATAGCATTATATTTCTAGGAAAATGATAAGACATCTGAAAAAAGTGCAACCACACACTGCATATTTCAATTATGAGGATACCAGACAGAATTATTCTTACCAATATGGCGTTCCCACAAAAGAATTTGCAGGAGATGCCATAGAAGCAGATCCAAAGTCAGCAAGTTTCACCTGGCCTGGTTCAGTCAGAAGGATATTTCCTGCTTTAATATCTCTGGGTTTAAGGAACACAGAAAATTATTTCTTTCCTTCATTAGATTGTGTTCAAACTGATAAAACTCAAAAATTTGTAAAATAGGGAAGGAAAAATCAAAAATAGTTAAGTCCTAGGATAATCTCTCAACTGGGATCATGAGAATTAAGATCCAAACTAGAAAACAAAAAATACTGAATTGATATAAATATATAGTAACAATTTTATAAAAGAGAAAACAAAATAGCAGTAAAAAACAAAAGAGAGAAAATCAGACAATTGGAGCATATAGTCTATATCTGAGTTCCTTTTTACTGGTAGAAATATTCGTTTTAAAAATAGAATTTAATTAGCTGACCAGTCCTTCATAATTTTAAGATTTGAGTACTCCATGTAATGTAAAAAACAAAACAAAAAAAACTCCTCATGCCCCAAATTTGCTTTTTTTTAAAAGGATTATTCACACAATTTTTCCAAATCTTAGGATAGTTCTCCTAACTAAAGATGAAACAAAAACTGAAACATATGGATAAGGTAATATCAACAATCTCAAATTTACTTTCAAGCTTACTTTTCTAAATCGGCAAACAATACTATCCATGCAAACTAACAAAACCATGAATATTTATATAAAGGGATGGTATGTCCAATGGGCACCACAACATACACTTAATTTTTCAAAAAAAGAAAAACTAAATTTCCAAGCACTAGTCAATACTTACTATAGTATTGTAATGGATATAATACTAAATTAATCTATTTTCCTTCCACTTGTTTTTTAAAGAGAGAGGTATTTTGAAGTCGAGAAAACCTTAGGTTTTAACTCCAACTCTTCCATTCACTTATTTACTAGCATGTGGACTTTTCTCATATATGACATAAAAGTGCTAATTTCCTTTTAAAACATGCAAAATCAATACCAAAGCTAAAAATGCATTACAAAATAGTTTAAAGTTACCATCCATTATCAATGATTAATACTCAAAAGCATAAAGAGTCTTAAGCAGCTTTTATTTGTCCATGTCACGGAATCAGTGGAACAAATGTGGCATTATCAGTTACCAGGAATACAAAAGATCTAGGTTTGGTTGTAGTTTAATCTATCTGGCTTTGTAAATTTAGGGAAATTATTCACAAATTGAGGCATCAGTTTCTTCATAAGTAAAGTGAAAAAAGTAAGACTACATAATCTCTAATGTCCTTTCCATTTCACAAATCAAATGATTCTACAATTAAATTTCTACCACAAATCTATAAAGTGCACAGACTTCAGAAAGCCCAGCAGCATGTGTAGACAAAGATAAAAATTATCCTAAACAAAGAGATCAAGTGTAGTAGTATGTTCTTATTAAAGCATGGACAATCTAAAAAATATTTATAAGATTGGCTATAACCAACAAAAATTTCAGAGTTAATAAGTTCCAGGCTTGATAAATGCAACAAGTCATTTCCTTGGTAATGTATGATAATTTTCAAGGTGCTTACCTGTGGATCATAGTATGAGAATGTAAGTAGGCTAATCCCTGGAGAGCACCATGTGTAATTGCTGCTATTTCCACTTCCTGTAATGGCTTTTTGTGAACTTAAAATAAAAGTTTATTTGAAAATAATTATTACAGAATATTTTTATTAAAAAAATAAATATACATTATCTAATATATGAGGCAACTTTTAAAAACTAACATTTAGCAAGAAGGAATTTCAAGAAGATAACAAAACAAGGCTACTGAACTTTATAACTAGTATAAAGTTGTGCCTAGCTGTTAAAGTATAGTTCACAGCCAATTTTCCTCTAAGCTAACAACATTTAACAATTATTTAGTGATTATAAAAACAAAAGTAACAAAAGATAAGTATCCCTTTATTCTCACGTCTTAATTTTGAAAAGAAGCAACAGATCAAGCTGAATGACCACGCATACAGAAAAATACTTAAGCCATAATGAGAGAAAATTCACCTATTTTATGCTGCTACATAATATTTAAGGAGGATAGTGCCTACCATGCTGAGAATCTAGAAAAGGTTAAAGTTTTTACTCTTTCTGAAAAATTTTTACATTATTTAGGAAATCTCTTACTGAACTCTCATTTTATTTTGCTAATACTTTTTTCCCTTAATAATTAAAGGAAACCTACCTTCCAGTAAATCTGAAGCCGATCCTAAACAATATTCCATTACAAGCTACATGGGAAGAAAAATTATAAAGCATTAAAATATATTATTAAAAAGATTCTATTTGAGATAAATTCACCAAGAAGATCAAGAAGACTGTTTGAAATAAAGCAAACTCTAATCATCGTTTACCTTAATAAATAACTATTTATGTAGTGAGCAATTTGTTAAATGCATAAAGTTAAACCAATGATACATTAATCTTTTATAACACCAACATACAATCGCTTGTATAAGATGTGCATTTCATGTATAATTACTAACTACAATTATAAAGGAATATATATATTCTGTTACTATTAACCTATAGTAGCAATATTGATAATTGTTAGGAAGCAGAAAACTGTCCCCTGGAACTATATATACAAAGCTTAGGTTATAGTTTAAATGTTTCTTCTAAAGCAAACACAGAGCACCTCCTATGTGCCAGGTGTTTTATATATATTAACTGATTTAATCCTCACAACCACCCTATGAGGTAGGCCATATTATTATCCTTGTTTCACAGATGGAGAAACTCAAGTGACAGAGAGGTAATCTGCTCAATGTCACTGCTTTTTCTTTAACCACAGCCTCAAGTTTAGGAGTACCACCACCAACATCACCAAAATTAAACTAAATAAAAATGCACCAAACATTACAAATGTAAGTACAGTATATAAAATGATAATTAGTTGCGGCTTATTAATTATTCAAAATAAGGGATAATTCCTGTTTAAGAAAATTTAGGCTTTGTCTTAAAAGATATAGTTACTGTGCCTATACCATTGCAGGATTACTATTTTGTCTCCTCAACGGTAACAAGAGGGCAAAATTAACCTCCACTTCTTGCAATAAAGTGCCTCAATTCTCTACCTTTAGTATTATTCAGCCAAAGAATCACAATCAGTTCAAATTTCACCAGGATTCACTGAGACTTCACCGAGATCTTCGTGGTTAAATAGATTACAATACATTTATGTCAAAAGCTATGCTATGTCAAAAAGGTACTCAAGGTAACCCTTGAGTAACAGGGTTGTTTTCACAATGTCTGATAAATCATTTGAATACTACTACTAAAACATGTCAAATAATATTACTAAAAAAATGGTCAAACGCATTTTACCATGCATGTAAGGGTCAGCTAAATCTCTGCAGTAAACTTGCAAAAAAGTTCTATCATCTCTTATTGCCTAGGAGTTCTAGGAGAAGCTGCTCTTCCCTTCTCATTATAAACTAACAATTCGAGGTGTTTTTGCAAGGCTTTACACAACCATTTTAAGACATTCTTGAATTAATTCATTCTAAACCAAAACCAACTAAAATTACAGCAAGGGGAAGGCAGATACCTACCCATGCTGTGTGCTCACGTAAATAGCAGCCTTTGTATTCTATACTATTGGGATGTTTTATTCTTTGTAGAAACTTGACTTCCTTAATAATATCCTGCCATTTCTGTGGGGAGAAAAAAAGGAGTAAAGGAAAGAATTATGAACAGCTGCTTTTCCTTAGAAAGTTACATAAGAAAAAAGTAATTACTAGATTAAGAATGGTTAATGAGAACATACAAATTTGCTTTATTTGTAATATTTAGATTAAATGTCAAAATAATAAATTTAAAAGAAATTACATTCATATCGTCTATAACTCAATTAGATAATTTATAAAATTATTTCATTCAAGTAGGACAAATGTTAGTTTGTGAAATTTATCATCAATGAGTCTTATTACAATTTTACAATCACACAAGCATGTTGATGAAAACTATATACCATATTTAGAGATTTTTTCCTTCAAAATTAAATTTCCCCTTTCTTATTGCTTTATTGACATATAATTTACATACCATAAAGTTCACCTATGGTGTTTTTGGCTTATATCTTCTACCAAATGTTAAGGTTTTGTTTGTTTTGTAAACTCAAATGAAGTAATTACTCTGAGAATTAAATTCCTAAATGCACATTTTCTAAAATGCTAGTGAAGAATCAGTTATTATATAGGAAAGTTCACAGAAAAAAACAACATTATGAAAACATTTTCCTACATATTTTACTAAGAGCCTTTCTCATTGACACTACCAGGAAATACAGATAATCCTTCGGCCATAAACTACTCCATGTCAACTTTAGACACTTATGCCATATCCTAAACATAGTTACTCTTAAGAAGCACCAAGGGAACTCTAAAAATACAGGTCCTTGGGTCCATACCCAGAGATTCTCTTACTAAGTATGGGGTGGGAACTAGGAATCTGTTTTTTGTTCTTGTTTTACTTTTTTCAAGCTTTACCACTGACATGGGCCATATTTCTAAAGGCAGGGGAACTAGCAAAATAGAAAACTTTAAGAATTTTGTACTAGGAGTTTAAGATCCTATATCTCCTATGTTAGTTTACCAGCCCTCAACAAAATAGAGCAAAATATGTTCATACTGTTTTATATAAAATGTGTAAGATATAAGATGCTAAATTCAGAAAATGTTCCATGAGCTTTAAATTTCAAATGTGAACGCTCTGGGAGGCAAACTCTCAAAACAAAACAAAAAGCTGTATTCTTCAACATAAAACAACTTCCATGAAGGACACTAATATTAGATGTGAAAAGATGACGCCCTAAATGAAACTTTTTGTCTTAGGTGTCACTAATCAAACAGACTCCAACATAGTACAAGTCTGCCCATTAAAGCTAGTTCGAAAGTGTGCTATAGACTGGTGAATAAAATTAAACTTGTAAGAAATGAAGTTTTTTAGGACTTTTACATATTTCTAGGAGTTTTTTAAGTATCAAAATGATGGAACAGTGATCTAATCACAGTCTTAGCATATGCATAGTATGATCATCACAAAAATAAGATTTACCATAAAATAAAGAAATTCCAAAAAAGTGGAAATCCAAAATCTTTAAAAATTAAAGGATAATCCAGCAAATCTACCTCTGGGCATATATTCAAAGTATTGAAAGAAGGGACTCAAAGAAATATTTGTATACCCAGGTATTTTTTTTTTAGATTGGCACCTGAGCTAACATCTGTTGCCAATCTTCCTTTTTTCCCCCTTATTCTCCTCAAAGCACCCCCAGTACATAGTTGTATATTCTAGTTGTAGGTCCTTCTGGCTCTGCTATGTGGAATGCCGCCTCAGCACGGCTTGCTGAGTGGTGCTAGGTCTGTGCCCAGGATCCAAAAGGGTAAAATCCTGGGCCACCAAAGCAGAGTGCACAAACTTTGCCACAGGGCCAGCCCAAAACTGTGGTGTTTTATAGACACACACACACACACAGAGGAATATTATTCAGCCTTAAAAAAGGAAACCCATAATACAACATTGGTGAACTTTGAGGACATTATGTTAAGTGAAATAAGCTAGTTACAAAAGGACAAATACTGCACGATCTGACTTACATGAGATACCTAAAGTAATCAAATTCATAGAGACAGAAAGTAGAATGCTAATTTCCAGGGGCTGGGGTAGGAGGAAATGGGACGTTATAGCTTAATGGGTACAAAATTTCACTTTTACAAGATGAAAAGAGTTCTAGAGATGAATGGTGGTGATGGTGGCACAACAAAGTGAACACCCTTAATGCCAATGAACTGTACACTTAAGAATGGTTAAGATGGTAAATTTTGTTATGTGTCTTTTACCACAACTAAAAATAGTTGAAATTGGGCCAGCCCCAGTGGCCGAGAGGTTAAGTTCAGCATGCTCTGCTTTGGGGGCCCAGGTTTGGTTCCCAGACGTGGACTTATACCACTCATCTGTCAGGAGCCATGTATGGTGGTAGCTCACATACAAAAAGAGCAACATTGGCAACAGATGTTAGTTCAGGGTGAATCTTCCTCAGCAAAAGAGGAAGATTGACAACAGATGTTACATCAGGGTGAATCTTCCTCAGCAAACCAAAAAAAAATTAAAATTAAACAAAAAGAAAATTGAAGACTGACAAATTCTAGATTTAGAAAGTAGATTACATTTTATAAAATATATGCAATTAAAAAGAATACATATAATATGAAAAGAAATAATCAGAATATTAGCAAATTGAACTACACTCAATGTAATATCAATAATTGTATTTTTTGGCTTTTCAGATTATTACACACTGCCTGTTTTGCAGACTATCTATATATGCTTGTTGATTAAAGTTTGTTTAAAACAGCCTTTCAACAATTTCTAAACCATTAAAAAAGTTATATCCAAAATAATTTACTATCAAATGCATCTTATACTAGTTTACTTTTTTACAAACTGATAATCCCTCTATGATAAACACAGCATAATATATTAAACCATAGTTAAAAAAATTAAAAGCAGGGAGTGCAAGTTGGGAGGTTTTGGGAATGCCAGTAATGTTCTGTTTATGGCTCTAGGTACAAGGTAAACGGGTACATTCAAGTTGTGAAAGAAAATTCACTAAGTTATACACAATATTTGTACACTTCTCTCTATGTATACATTTTTGAAGAAATTCCCACCTACCTCCAATTAAAAATAGTATATGTTTCTCCAACACACTAATAAGAATGTAATATACTTTTACCTACCTCAGTAGACTGCTTTCCACTATATGACATTTTCTTGATGGCCACCACTTCATTGGTACGCACATCTCGTGCCTAAAAAACAAAGAAAGAACCATTGTAAAAATTAATAGATTAAATCTGAGCAGTCATTTCTCTGAGGAAAAAAAGCATTTATAAGCTACCATGTCAAATAAAGACATCAAAATGACTTCTAAAGAACATTAGAAAATAATAACAACTATACAGCAAGACTTATCAAATTACCCAGGAGCTGGTACTCTGGAAAGAAAAATAAAGCCAGTTTATCTTTGACCTAAATGAGAAGAAAAATATAGAATATAGAAATTTCAATAGTACTATATACAAAGAGACAAAACAAAACTAGTACATATAAGTCTATGCAAATAAATTTTGAATCTCAATGAAATGGACAATTTTCCAGGAAAGAATAAATTAAAAACACTAATGTAAAGAAGAAAATACAAGCAAAACAAACAATGGTGGCAGATTGAAAAGAATACCAATGAAATATCTTTAAAATAGTCTTGAGTGGAAAATAGTTTTACCAGGGGAAATTTCCAGTATATAAGGGGGAAAAAATCAAAGATATCCCATTAATTTAAGGCAGTATAACCCAATAACTGAAACCTCACAGACAGCACAAAATAGAAAGTTAGGTATCAATTTCATTTTTAAATATAGACAAGAGAATTCTAAATAAAATTGAAAAACCAAATACTACAGGGCATTAAAAGAATCTTTCATTTGGATGAAATATACCTTAATCACAGAAATACAAAAGAGATTGATACTAGGAAAAAATTTCATAGTTTACCACATTTTTTAAAAAATCAAAAGGAAAAAAACACACACACACATATATACGCAAATGCTGAAAATGCAGGAAGGACCTAACGCTAAATGTAGCCAATTGCAGGGAGGACAAACTCTTAGAAAACCCAAATTAGAAAGGTAATTCCTAACTTGATAAATCATATCTATTGTAAACAACTGCTAATATCAGGATTAGGACAAGACTGCTAAAATGTTATCACAATTATTATTCATCACTGTTATGGAAATTCTGAAAAAGTAATAACATAACTGAAGTATGATAGATACCTCTTTGGAAAGGAGCCAAACTCTATGTGTTTAAAAAACTGATAATATATATACATTAAGAAGAGACAAAAGAATAGCTATGAAACATTTAAAATAAGTTCAGTAGAAGGATCAGAACAATCTCAAAGCATCTGTGGAAGAACTCATCTTCAATTCAGACTTTACTGAATTCCCAAAATGTTCTAAAATTAGATAATGGTGACAGCCACAAAATTCGTATTTAGGGGCCGGCCCACTGGTGTAGCAGTTAGGTTCCTGAACTCTCCTTCAGCAGCCTGGGATTTGCAGGTTTGGATCCTGGGTGTGGACCTACACCCCACTCATCAAGCCATGCTGTGGTGGCAGCCCACATACAAAATAGAGGAAGACTGGCACAGATGTTAGCTCAGTGAAAATCTTCCTCAAGCAAAAAGAGGAAGATTGGTAACAGATGTTACTAGCTAAGGGCCACCAATCTTCCTCACCAAAAAAAAAAGGGAAAAAAATCCCTCGTATTTAATAAAAATCACTGAAATGTACACTTAAAATTAGTCAACTTGTGGTACATAGTTGATACCTCAAAAAACTTGTTCAAAAAAACAGCACAGGGCTGGCCCTGTGGTGTAGTGGTTAAATTCAGCATGTTCTGCTTCAGAGGCCCAGGGTACGCAGGTTCAGATCCCAGGTGCAGACCTACACCACTTGTCAGCCACACTGTGGTGGAGACCCACAAACAAAATAGAGAAAAATTGGCACAGATATTAGCTCAGGACTAATTGTACTCAAGCAAAAAAAAAAAGAAGATTGGCAACAGATATTAGCCCAGGGCGACTCTTCCTCACCAAAAAAAAGAAAATGAAAAAATATTTTTAAAAAACAGGACATATGTAAATTATATCTCAGCAAAGTTGCTAAAAAAAAAAAAAAGACACTCTGTTAAGTGGATCAAGGGAACAACTAATGACACTGCAATTTCAATTACTAGTGGATTGGTTAATGGAAATTTGCACCACATATTATAATGGGTGAAGCAAATCTATCCACTTAAGTCCTGCTTGAAATAACGAATTTACTTTTCCAAAATGTTCTCTGCTATCTCTAAGCCCCTTGATTTTAATCAATAGGTCTAGATAGCTAAATTCTTTTCTTTTATAACGGCTTTATTGAGATATAATTTACACACCATACAATTCACCCATTTTAATGGTACAAGTGTGCTATTAAATGGTACAATTTAACAGTACAATAAAATGGTTTTTAGTACATTCACAGATATATGCAACCATTACTACAATTTTCTTCCCTCAAAGATTGGCACCTGAGCTAACAACTGTTGCCAATCTTTTTTTTATTTTTGCTTTTTCTCCCCAAATCCCACCAGTACGTAGTTGTATATTTTACTTGTGGGTCCCTCCAGTTGTGGCATGTGGGACACCACCTCAATATGGCCTGACGAGCTGTGCCATGTCTGCGTACAGGATCCAAACCAGCAAAACCCTGGGCTGCCGAACCAGAGCGTGCGAACTTAACCACTCAGCCACAGGGCCAGCCCCCTACAGTCAATTTTTGAACTTTCATCACTTCAAAAAGAAACTACAAATTGTTCATTTAAAAATGGTTACAATTGGGGCCGGCCCAGCAGCGCAGGGGTTAAGTGCGCATGTTCCGCTTCAACGGCAAAGGGTTCGCCAGTTCAGATCCTGGGTGTGAACATGGCACCACTTGGCAAGCCATGCTGTGGTAGGCGTCCCACATATAAAGTAGAGGAAGATGGGCACAGATGTTAGCTCAGGGCCAGTCTTCCTCAGCAAAAAGAGGAGGATTGGTGGCAGTTAGCTCAGGGCTAATCTTCCTCAAATAAAAAAATTAATTTAAAAATAAATAAATACATAAATAAAAATGGTTGAAATGGGGGCCGGCCCAGTGGTGTAGTGAATTTCACACACTCTGCTTCAGTGGCCCAGGGTTCGTGGATTCAGATCCTGGGCACAGACCTACACACAGCTCATCAAGCCATGCTGTGGCAGCATCACACATACAAAAAATAGAGAAAGATTGGCACAGGTGTTAGCTCAGGGAGAATCTTCCTCAAGTAAAAAGAGGAACATTGGAACAGATGCTAGCTCTGGGCCAATCTTCGTCATCCAAAAAAAGAAAAACGTTAAAATGGATTGCTGGGAACATGGCGGCATACGAGGACTCTGAACTCACCTCCTCCCATGGACACAAGAAATTTACAACTACCCTTGGAACAATTACCCCAAGACAGAACTGGAAACTGGATAAAAAGAACCCCCACAACAAGGGACAGCACTGATTCAAGTGGAAGAGGCAGACATACCTTTTTAGAAAGGAAAAAAGCCACATTCCAGCCAAGGTGCTTCATGGCCAGGAGCAATCTTAGGGTACAAAGCTTTTCCTGGAGGGGTGGGAGATCTGAGCAGGAGAGCTATGCCATAAAAAGCATCTTTCAAATCCAGCACAACCAAGGGAAGTGCCATAATATCTGGCCTTGCTTGCTATTAAGAAAAACGAGGAATACCCCTAGAAAAGCTACTGAACATATGAGAAAGAAAGGCCTGATCTTAAAGAAAGCATGCACAAATTCATCTGTTTCAGAAAGCAATGCAAAATCAGCAAAAAGAAAGGTGTATAGTCCTTTGGTGAAAAGAAACTCACTTCATAGGCTCTGGGCACATCTCAGGGTGGCAGGAGGTGGTTGGGACGACTTCCCCAGGGATTGAGACATTGGCAGAAGCCATGATTGTGACCGAGTACAAGTGTGCTGACACAGACACTGGGAGATGGCCACTGGAGTTCTTCCCCTGGCCTGTTAGTGCAGGGGCTTGCCGTGCCCACTACAGCACTGATCTAATCGAGCTCAGCCAGGGCATGCAGCCTGCCTTAGGGCTAGGCCCCACTTACTAGAAAGTCCTCGGGCAACTTGTGAGCCAGCACAGGCAAGGTGTGTGGGACCTCTGCAGCAGTGCGAATGGGTCTGCTTCAGTGGGTCAGGGCATGCGCACAGGGCAGGAATGCATGGACGGGGTGTGTGGGTCTGCAGGCAGTGGGTCAGCTGCAGCAGATTGTGCTTCTCAAACAGCCATACAGGAGATCTGCCCCATCTTCCAAACGCCTGAAACAACTGTGTGCTGCCACGCCTTGGGCTGGCCAAACCCAGCTGCACCCACTGAAAGAGCTGACAACAGCCTTGTAGGCCAGAGGCCCACAGGAATTGCGAGACCCTGAGCCTAGCAACCAGTCACACTGGGGGCCTACTCACTTAACAAAAAAACTGCAACAGGAATGTGCTATTAGACCTTGTACCCTGTGCTGAGGCTCTCCCCACTCAAAAAAGTAACTGAAGGGATCATGGCAGCCACACACAGCTGAGCCTTACAGCCAGCTGAGCAGGGGGACAGCCTAGCCTTCCCATCCATGTGCAGAAAGAGCAACCCTGCCAGAACAGAAGGACACACGTAGCACACACAGGGGATATTTGTGGAACATCTGGAACTGGTGATAAAAGGGAAGCACACTGCTGGGTCTCATAGCCATCCCTTACAAAAGGGCACTTCTCCAAGATTGGGAAATGTAGCTGATCTACCTAAAACAGATATAAGCACAGAGAAAGAGGCAAGATGGGGACACAAAGGAATATGTTCCAAATAAGAGAACAGGATAAATCCTCAAAAAAAAAAACTAAATGAAACAGATAAATAATCTATCAGATAAAGAGTGGAAATTAACAGTCATAAGGATGCTCCCTGATCTTGGGAGAAGAACAGATGAATACAGTGAGAACTTCAACAAAGAATTGGAAAATATAAAAAAGAACCAATCAGAACCGAAGAACACAATAATGGAAATAAAAAACTCACTAGAGGGGATCAATAGCAAAGTAGATGATACAGAAGAATGGATGAGCAAGCTGGATGAAAGACAAGAGGAAATCATCCAAGCTAAATAGAAAAATGAAAAAAGAATTAAAA